GAGGCGCGGGAGGCCGTGCGGGCCGCGCACCAAGCCGGCGCCGCCTGGGGCCGCCTCCCCGCCAAGGTGAGCGGCTGCGGAAGATGGCGCCCGCCGGGGCGCTGAGGGGGGACCCCGGGCCGAGCGCGCCGACGGGGGAGCGGGAGGTGGCGGGGTCCCGTCCGGTGAGGGAAGCCCGTCCCCGCGGTGGGCTCTTCCCGGGGGGGTCTTGAGGGGCTCGGCTTCCCCCTGGGAGAAGCCCGTCTCGATCCAGCGGTGCGGCCCCCGCGGCCGCCTCCTTGTCTTTCCCCAGGAGAGGAGCCTGCGGCTGCGGCGCTGGTACGAGCTGATGCTGGAGAACAAGGAGGAGCTGGCAAGGATCATCACGGCCGAGAACGTGAGTTGAGCCCAGCGCGGGGGTGCCGGGGTTGAAATAAAGCAGCACTGTGGTGGCTTTATTAAGAAAAAACACACCCTCTGTGCGCTTCACTAGTTAGCCACTGCTTCTTTAAGTTATTACTTAAAAGCTGAGCCTAGTGGACGCGTAGTGGAGTTGTGTCACTCCATTAGGTCAGTGGGGAACCTTTCCAGCATTTCTCTTTCTGACATTCATAGATGTGTTATTTCAATGACATTAGGACCCAGCAGTCCAGCACAAATCAGACCCACGTTGTGTGCAAAAAAGGATACATCAGCCTAAACCATGGTCTTCGTGGCTGAAATGAGCGTCCTTCGTCAGTTTCATCACCATTGCAAACATTGGGGTGCTGTCAAAGCTAGTCTCCCATTGGATTCGCTCCCTGTGCTTTGGTTCGCATCACAGAGCAGCCTGGGAGCCCACAGATGGGTGTCCTTTTGGGTAAAACAGGCTGAGGGAGCTGGGGTTGTTCAGCCTGAAGAAGAGGAGGCTCCGGGGAGACCTAATAGTGGCCTTCCAGTACCTGAAGGGAGCCTACAGGAAGGCTGGGGTGAGCCTGTTTAGAAAGGCCTGCAGTGACAGGACGAGGGGCAATGGCTTCAAGCTGGAGGGGAGCAGATTTAGACTGGAGATTAGGAGAGGGTTCTTCACTGTGAGGGTGGTGGAGCACTGGAACAGGTTGCCCAGGGAGGTGGTTGAGGCCCCATCCCTGGAGATATTCAAGGTGAGGCTCAATGGGCAACCTGGTCTAGTTGGGGGTGTCCCTGCTGACTGCGGGGAGGTCGGACTAGATGGCCTTTGGAGGTCCCTTCCGGCCTGGGAAATTCTATGATCCTTTGATTCTATGAAAACCATGCTGGAAGGTACTTCAGCAGTGCCTCTGTGGTGTCCCGGCTGCTAATGGCCATTCAGTCCATGGGGTCAGACCTGCAGGTAGTCCAAGGTCATACTACCCCAACCAAATGTCCCTGGCATAAAGTTGAAACTGTTCTGCCACTGTCTGCATCTTCTTTAAGAATGGTAGTAGCAGCTAACTGCAGAGTTTGTAAATAAACACACGCTGCATTTGCTGTTCCAGTTCCTTGTCCTGGGCAGATAGGAATTCCAGGCATGACATACAAAGTGTGGGCTATACAATAACAGTATATTGAAGCTGCACAACTATTGCTGCTGCAATCATAACAATCTTTTTTGGAGATCACAGTGTACCTGAGAGCGGGTTATGAAGTGTTGAAACTGTTCTGCCACTGTCTGCATCTTCTTTAAGAATGGTAGTAGCAGCTAACTGCAGAGTTTGTAAATAAACACACGCTGCATTTGCTGTTCCAGTTCCTTGTCCTGGGCAGATAGGAATTCCAGGCATGACATACAAAGTGTGGGCTATACAATAACAGTATATTGAAGCTGCACAACTATTGCTGCTGCAATCATAACAATCTTTTTTGGAGATCACAGTGTACCTGAGAGCGGGTTATGAAGTACTTTGAAAAGAACAGAAACTCCAAAATGATTTAATTTGTTTCCATTGCCTCAGTCTGCCGCTTAACAGTGTATCTTCCATCTGATTCAATCGAAGGGGAAGCCTCTGAAAGAAGCACAGGGTGAAATCCTGTATTCTGCCTCCTTTCTGGAGTGGTTTGCGGAGGAAGCTCGCCGGGTTTATGGTGATGTCATTCCAGCCTCTGCAAAAGACAGAAGAATCCTGGTGCTGAAGCAGCCTGTAGGAGTGGCAGCCGTTATAACCCCAGTAAGCACAACTGAATTTTTCAAATCGTGGAGGTTCTCAGCATGGGGCTGGGGCCTTAGGGCTTCTCCAGCCCAGGCAAACACCCCTGGAAAGTTTCATTTCTCCCTTGTTCTTTCTGGACTGGCAGTTCCTTTTTGTAGTGCTCACTTAGGATAAAGCACATCACACAGGTCTGTTTAAGTTACCATGTAGTGACAGAAAATTCCAGCTATTTCTGCAAAAACAGGAGGCAAAATTTTCCCAAGTTTGATTGTCCTTTTTTTTTCCTCTTGTCCTAGTGGAATTTCCCCAGCGCCATGATTACCCGGAAGGTTGGTGCAGCTCTGGCAGCTGGCTGTACGGTGGTCGTGAAACCTGCAGAGGACACACCTTTATCAGCATTAGCTCTTGGGGAGGTGAGCTTTCTGCCTAAGTTTTACCTTAGCAGTGGGCTGAAGCTGTAAGTGGGGAGTCAGAAGATAACTCCGGCCAGCTTCATACACAAAGAAAGGGCAAACTGGCTGACTCGATCCAGAAGTTTTACTTTAGTAAGAATCTTTGAAAGTTGCCTCCAGTATGGTCTAGAGCTTCAAGGAGGACCTGGCCATTTAGCTACACAAAACCTCTCTCTGTATGTCCTTTGGTTACTTCAAATGACAGCTTAAACCGAAGCGAAGCCGCTCTCTTGACACGGTGGCATCTGCTTCCAGTTGTGCTGTGGCTTTTTGACTTCCTTTGACTTACAGACTGGTTTCTTCAAAACCAAAAAGAAACATTAAGTGACGACTCCTCATACAAAACGCACTGATCATGCACGTTCTGTGTTTCTTCTCTTGCAGCTTGCAAACCAGGCTGGAATTCCAGCAGGAGTGTATAATGTCGTTCCTTGTTCCAGACAACAGACGCCAGCTGTAGGGGAAGTTCTGTGCACTGATCCCTTGGTAGCCAAAATATCTTTTACTGGCTCTACAGCAACAGGAAAGGTATATTAAAGTGCACAGAATATCCTTGAAGATTATTACTGTGGTTATACTGGAAAGGTAGGGGGAAGGTGTGTGCCTTTATACAGAGCTGCCTTCTTTTTTGGCTACTGTACACAGATTGTCCAAATAATTGTGTGCTTCTTACCATACTGCCTATTTATTTTAGTGTCAGTACTTCACAGAAGGGTGCCTGTGTGGAACTTCTGGATAACTGCTCTTTATCAAATTATAATGTGAACAGTTCTGTACAGGATGCTCTTGTTTCATATCACAGGGTGACAGCATACTAATAAGAACACTGAAATTGAGTTTCAGAGCTATATTTAGGAATGGTTCTCTGCAGTTAAGGAATTAGAGAAGTGAGGCCCTTGAATCTCTCCTGTCAGCATTAGTCAATAAACAAGCTTATCACCATCTCAAGTGAAACTAATAAAACTGCAGAGTGTGGCTAGAAGATGATAGAATTCTATGGAATGGATGGATGCAGAATAAAAAAAGGCTGGTGCCAAGGCAAATCTTAATCCCAAATTCTGTCAGATCTTGGAAAAATTTCATAAGATTAGTCAAGATTTTTATTACCAAAAAAGAAAAGAACAAGCAAACAAGAGTGACAATATTAGTGTATAAATGCCTGACCTGAACTGAGGTCGATGAAAATCCTTCTCTTCATTATTTGAAATGATTGAATTTGTTTCCGTTGCCTCAGTCTGCCACTTACAGTGTATCTTCCATCTGATTCAATTGAAGGGGAAGCCTCTGAAAGAAGCACAGGGTGAAATCCTGTATTCTGCCTCCTTTCTGGAGTGGTTTGCGGAGGAAGCTCGCCGGGTTTATGGTGATGTCATTCCAGCATCTGCAAAAGACAGAAGAATCCTGGTGCTGAAGCAGCCCGTAGGAGTGGCAGCCGTTATAACCCCAGTAAGCAGTTCTGGGCAGCGAAGAGCCGTGCCTACAGTTTACGCTGTAAATTGTATTTTATGTAAAATGTATTTTATGTAAAAGGAAAGCATAGAACACTTCATTGTGAAGAGAAAGATGCTGGAGTCACACGGAGCTCTGGGCACTCGGGCCAGTTACCAGCAAGTCTGAGTAACAACACTGTAAAATCCCATGTGCTTTCACAACATACATGGCAGTCAATAACATCACTGAGAAGGAAGATGTTCACTAGGACCCTTCACAAGAGCATGAGAAGTGAGAAGGCATTTTTTTCATATGCTTTGTTAGCATTAAATTCACTGGAGAACTAGAGCTGTGAAAAGAAGCCATCCTGCCTCAGATGATATTTTACAACACGTGCCTAGCTATTTCTTAAAACAATGGCTCAAAGTTCCATGATAAATGTTTCCATCTATAGGATTTTGTGTTCAAGTCTTTTTTGTTTTCCCTAATGTGTTCTGCAAGCACCCGGCAGGAATTAAGGGGACTGAAATCTGTTAAGACGCTCATGGCTACATTTTTCCACAATGAATAGCTTAAAAGAAGTGATAAACAGGATTCAAATATTAATTGCTTCAAATGTATTTTTAATTTTTAAGAGCCTCACTGTCCAGAACAGTGAGCTGAGCTGGGCTGTGTGGAGACTGTTCCAGCCTTAGAAGTATTACCCCTGCACATGAACAGGAAGTTGACAAACTCCAACATTGGAGAAGCAGCAAATTTTCAGTGGGATTGGGAGGTCATTTGGTTGGGAACATGTTGCTTGAGCAACACGAGAAGAACATAAGACTGATCTTGGGAAGAAAGAAAGGAAGCAAAATAGAGTGGAATGTGGACAGGGACCACTGGGTGATATGACACAGCCTGGACAAGATCTAACACAGAAGGCACCTCTGCTGCTGCACAGAGGGATAAGTGACTTTTGAGAGACTGTACAATGAAAATACGGTGCAGTCAGAGCAAGGGGGTAGCACAAATAAGTAGGCTACTGAAAGCACTTAAGAACAAATTCCAGGAAAAAAGCAAACTCAAACTTAATCAATGAAAGAGAAAAAAAGACCCCACGCCAACCAAGTGTGATCTGAGGTTCTGCTGCTCAATCCAGCATTCTGCTGGCTAATTAGAACGTATTTCTTGCAGCTTCTGGACCTTGTCAATCCGTATATCAGAGTCCCCAGAAACCTTTTCCCAGTGTAAGTGATGTAAATTTAGCAGTGTGGCACATTTCACACACGTACTGACAGCTTCTTCAGTTGTATGTCTAAACTGAGAGAGGTGATGAAAGAAATGGCAAAGCTGGGTAACAGCTTAGGATGCTGGAGAAGAGGGGGAGGACAGATCACTGTAGTAAACCTGATGCTGTGGCATGAATTCATTCATCCAGAGTGGATGAATGGATAGATTCAACACAATATAAAGTACTGGTTTTCTTTTTTCATGATTGTTTTCAGACCTGTGTTTGCACAAACCGTTTCCTGGTGCAAAAGGGAATCCACGACGAATTTGTGGAGAAGTTTGCTAAAGCTATAGAGAGAGAACTACATGTTGGAAGTGGATTTGATGCCAAAACTACCCAAGGGCCACTAATTAATGAAAAAGCAGTGGAGAAGGTATAAAAGATTTCATTTTTGACATCTTAATTTCCTTTTTATGATCCATAAAGTAACTTTAGATTTATATTTCTTTCTGGGAAGCGAAGAGCCGCGCCTACAGTTTACGCTGTAAATAAGCTATTTTATGTAAAAGGAAAGCATAGAACACTTCATTGTGAAGAGAAAGATGCTGGAGTCACACGTAGCTCTGGGCACTCGGGCCACTTACCAGCAAGTTTGAGTAACAACACTGTAAAATCCCACGTGCTTTCACAACATACATGGCAGTCAATAACATCACTGAAAAGGAAGATGTTCACTAGGACCCTTCACAAGAGCATGAGAAGTGAGAAGGCATTTTTTTCATATGCTTTGTTAGCATTAAATTCACTGGAGAACTAGAGCTGTGAAAAGAAGCCATCCTGCCTCAGATGATATTTTACAACACGTGCCTAGCTATTTCTTAAAACAATGGCTCAAAGTTCCATGATAAATGTTTCCATCTATAGGATTTTGTGTTCAAGTCTTTTTTGGTTTTCCTACGTGTTCTGCAAGCAGCCAGCAGGAATTAAGGGGACTGAAATCTGTTAAGACACTCATGGCTACATTTTTCCACAATGAATAGCTTAAAAGAAGTGATAAACAGGATTCAAGTATTAATTGCTTCAAATGCATTTTTAAGAGCCTCACTTTCCAGAACAGTGACCTAAGCTGGGTGTGGAGACTGTTCCAGCCTTCTAAGTATTACCTCTAACGGGAAGTTGATGAACTCCAAAATTGGAGAAGCAGCAAATTTTCAGAGGATTGGGAGGTCATTTGGTTGGGAAAATGTTGCTTGAGCAACACGAGAAGAAAACATAAGACTAATCTGGGGAAGAAAGAAAGGAAGCAAAATAGAGTGGAATGTGGACAGGGACCACTGGGTGATATGACACAGCCTGGACAAGATCTAACACAGAAGGCACCTCTGCTGCTGCACAGAGGGATAAGTGACTTTTGAGAGACTGTACAATGAAAATACGGTGCAGTCAGAGCAAGGGGGTAGCACAAATAAGTAGGCTACTGAAAGCACTTAAGAACAAATTCCAGGAAAAAAGCAAACTCAAACTTAATCAATGAAAGAGAAAAAAAGACCCCACGCCAACCAAGTGTGATCTGAGGTTCTGCTGCTCAATCCAGCATTCTGCTGGCTAATTAGAACGTATTTCTTGCAGCTTCTGGACCTTGTCAATCCGTATATCAGAGTCCCCAGAAACCTTTTCCCAGTGTAAGTGATGTAAATTTAGCAGTGTGGCACATTTCACACACGTACTGACAGCTTCTTCAGTTGTATGTCTAAACTGAGAGAGGTGATGAAAGAAATGGCAAAGCTGGGTAACAGCTTAGGATGCTGGAGAAGAGGGGGAGGACAGATCACTGTAGTAAACCTGATGCTGTGGCATGAATTCATTCATCCAGAGTGGATGAATGGATAGATTCAACACAATATAAAGTACTGGTTTTCTTTTTTCATGATTGTTTTCAGACCTGTGTTTGCACAAACCGTTTCCTGGTGCAAAAGGGAATCCACGACGAATTTGTGGAGAAGTTTGCTAAAGCTATAGAGAGAGAACTACATGTTGGAAGTGGATTTGATGCCAAAACTACCCAAGGGCCACTAATTAATGAAAAAGCAGTGGAGAAGGTATAAAAGATTTCATTTTTGACATCTTAATTTCCTTTTTATGATCCATAAAGTAACTTTAGATTTATATTTCACTTTGTTAACACTTGTTTTGTGAGAACGTATTTGCAGTGTGACTGGAAGTGTGTCCTGTCCTCCAACTCCCTGTATATATACAGACAAACAGGTGTGGCCAGTTTATGTATCATTTCCATTTAAGGGAAAAAGATTCCTCCTTTAGGAGGAACTGATTCCTCCTGATTATTTCCTAGCTGTTCTCAAGAACGTTTACTGAAATTGGATACACGGTGAGAGTTGTGTGGGGATCCTGCAATTCTAAAGCACCGTGAATGACAACTTATTTTGAAAAACTCTACCTCTGGCAAAAGCTAAGCAGAATGATACAATGAGGTTAAAAATAGCAGAGCTCTGGATGTTGTAATGACCTGAAACCTTACATGCATGGTTTGGGTCTTCTGTTTTGCATGACTTTTGATTCTGGGAAATTTTTTTTTGATCACAGTAAGTCACATTTTCTATAATATTTAACCTTTCCTAAGGTTAAAGATTATTAAATTGTGTGGTTCATACTTCCTAAGCTACTGTGGCTCGGTTATATGCAGGCTTGGTTTGAATCCCATTATACTTGAATGCTGCCAGATTCTTTCTGTTTATAAAATGATCAAATACGAAAATATTCAGAGTTTTTGGGGAGACAAAGGAGACAGTATTTCGATTTCTTTCCTTCATGCCTTCCCTTTGTGCAGCACAAAAGCATAGTGTGTGTATCATATGCATCTATATATACAAATAAGTACTGTATATAGTTTCTGTAACTTCAAAGGACAGTATCCCAGGTGGGGACTGCTACTTCAGTTGTCTTAATTACATTCTTGTCTTCGGATGAATCGTAGATGTCACCGGTGAAAGATGTTCTTGCCAGTACCATCTTGAAAATAGTCCATTTCTCTTTAAATGACAGTCATGTACTTCTGTTTCCACAATGCTTGATCATCGATATCAGGTGTACTTCTTCGTCCTGCAAAAACTTCTCCTCATGTTAGATGTAATCTTTTCATTTCAGCAGGAAAGCTGAATCTTTAATGAGACTGGGGTCATGCTCGTAATCGATCCCCCTGAAATTGTGTCAAACTGAGAGAAATAAAAATTCAGGAGAAATTTTAAATAATATTGTAAATGGTCTTCTGCAAAGTATAAACCTCTCTTCAAAATCTTTTATTTAATACTGGAGAGTATTATCCCTTCAGTGGAAAATATGCTACTGTTCACTCCTAGATGGTGATGTTGAGACTCTTGTTTTGCACACCTCAGGTGGAGAGACACATCAGTGACGCCGTTTCTCAAGGAGCATCTGTTGTGACTGGAGGGAAACGACACAGCCTGGGGAAGAATTTCTTTGAGCCAACATTACTTAGTAACGTTACAACAAAAATGCTTTGCACCCAAGAGGAGACATTTGGCCCGTTAGCACCAGTTATCAAGTAAGATTATTCATTTTCCAGATTATAAAAGACCACCGCATGATTATTTTGAATAAAGATATTTTTGTATGATCACACAAGTCGTGTAATAAGACTGGGGTACACATGTGGTTCGCTTGTTTCTCTCTCTTGACCCGATTTTAGCACCTCTGCAACTTTTTGAAATTTACTTTTAAATTGTATCAGCATTTAAGAAGGGTAAATAGCAACAAAACCTTCATCGACTTAGTGATTTATGGTATGAAGCAGTGAATGACAACTTATTTTGAAAAACTCTACCTCTGGCAAAAGCTAAGCAGAATGATACAATGAGGTTAAAAATAGCAGAGCTCTGGATGTTGTAATGACCTGAAACCTTACATGCATGGTTTGGGTCTTCTGTTTTGCATGACTTTTGATTCTGGGAAATTTTTTTTTGATCACAGTAAGTCACATTTTCTATAATATTTAACCTTTCCTAAGGTTAAAGATTATTAAATTGTGTGGTTCATACTTCCTAAGCTACTGTGGCTCGGTTATATGCAGGCTTGGTTTGAATCCCATTATACTTGAATGCTGCCAGATTCTTTCTGTTTATAAAATGATCAAATACGAAAATATTCAGAGTTTTTGGGGAGACAAAGGAGACAGTATTTCGATTTCTTTCCTTCATGCCTTCCCTTTGTGCAGCACAAAAGCATAGTGTGTGTATCATATGCATCTATATATACAAATAAGTACTGTATATAGTTTCTGTAACTTCAAAGGACAGTATCCCAGGTGGGGACTGCTACTTCAGTTGTCTTAATTACATTCTTGTCTTCGGATGAATCGTAGATGTCACCGGTGAAAGATGTTCTTGCCAGTACCATCTTGAAAATAGTCCATTTCTCTTTAAATGACAGTCATGTACTTCTGTTTCCACAATGCTTGATCATCGATATCAGGTGTACTTCTTCGTCCTGCAAAAACTTCTCCTCATGTTAGATGTAATCTTTTCATTTCAGCAGGAAAGCTGAATCTTTAATGAGACTGGGGTCATGCTCGTAATCGATCCCCCTGAAATTGTGTCAAACTGAGAGAAATAAAAATTCAGGAGAAATTTTAAATAATATTGTAAATGGTCTTCTGCAAAGTATAAACCTCTCTTCAAAATCTTTTATTTAATACTGGAGAGTATTATCCCTTCAGTGGAAAATATGCTACTGTTCACTCCTAGATGGTGATGTTGAGACTCTTGTTTTGCACACCTCAGGTGGAGAGACACATCAGTGACGCCGTTTCTCAAGGAGCATCTGTTGTGACTGGAGGGAAACGACACAGCCTGGGGAAGAATTTCTTTGAGCCAACATTACTTAGTAACGTTACAACAAAAATGCTTTGCACCCAAGAGGAGACATTTGGCCCGTTAGCACCAGTTATCAAGTAAGATTATTCATTTTCCAGATTATAAAAGACCACCGCATGATTATTTTGAATAAAGATATTTTTGTATGATCACACAAGTCGTGTAATAAGACTGGGGTACACATGTGGAAACTTACTTTGGATTATGTGGTTCGCTTGTTTCTCTCTCTTGACCCGATTTTAGCACCTCTGCAACTTTTTGAAATTTACTTTTAAATTGTATCAGCATTTAAGAAGGGTAAATAGCAACAAAACCTTCATCGACTTAGTGATTTATGGTATGAAGCAGGAGGCAGGATGTTGCAGTTGGTCATGTGATTTGCTAGCCTTAAGTTTTTCTGATAGAGGATGATTTAGAGATCTCTTTTCTCCTTCCCTGCCTCCATCCAGAGCAACTGGATGTGACTGAAGAACATAGGGTTCTCTCTCACAGATGAGTCTTGTGTCCTTGGGGAAACTGGTGGGCTAACCCATGTGAAGTAAATGCTTTAGCTACCAGTATCTAGGGAGGACAAAGGCAATCTTAACTACTTAACTGCATTTTAAAATTAAGAGAAGTGGCAGAAACTTTTCCATTGTTTCAAAGTGAAAAATTAAATTAGATGTTTAAGATACACCTTTGGAGAAAAAAAACATGACTTTTGTACTTCTGATAAGGCTGCTTCTGAGTAAGTCAGCAAGACGACAGAGGAACTGCAGGCCTCATTTGTATTTTTTCTCTTTACATTGACAGATTTGATACTGAAGCAGAGGCTGTTGCTATAGCAAACGCAGCTAACGTGGGTTTAGCAGGTATGCCTTACTCAGATAAATGCATTTCTGTGGGTTTATGTATTTTAGTATTATGGGGGTGACCACTTTTAATCTCAGTAAGTCTCTTTTTCACAGTCTTCTGCAATTGTTCCTCCTGATTTTAATTTTCATTCCTGTCTCTCTGTGTCTGCACGGCAGGATATTTCTACTCCCAAGACCCAGCTCAGATCTGGAGGGTTGCAGAACAGCTGGAAGTTGGAATGGTTGGTGTTAATGAAGGCATCATCTCCGCAGTGGAGAGTCCCTTTGGTGGGGTAAAACAGTCTGGCTTGGGGCGAGAAGGTTCAAAATACGGCATCGATGAATACTTGGAAATAAAATATGTCTGCTTTGGGGGCTTATAGAAATCTTCAAAAAGCACAATCCCAACAGCTTGGAAAAAGAGTGCTGTAGTTTTAAATAAGCTTTTTGAACCAGAAATATGTACGAATGCAACTTTTACCTTCTTTACAACTAAGCAACCCCGTTCTGTATGTGTAGAGCTATTGACAGTGTTCTGTGCTGCCATATGTTTTTACATGTTCTTTATTTATACATTGGGTTTTTCAGCAATGTGATCGCAGTTGCCCATCATTTTTAAGTAAGGAGTAAGGAAAAATGCACGTGGGTTATTCTTGGGCTACTCCTGTGTAACTGGGGGGGCTTGGAGACTTGTGCATAATCAAAATAAATCATAAGGCAAGGGGAAACCAGACCACCATTTGCTGCTGCCTCTAATGGTTCAGGGTGGATGTGCGAGGCTTTGGGCAGTCTCCCTTTAGAATTTTGTGTAAATACTCACATTTTCTAATGTGGTTATGTGACTTTCTTTTAGAAGCAGGTATGTGTCTTTTTTTTTTTTTTTTTTTTTTTTAAATTGTGGAAGAATCTGTTGCTTATGAAAGGTGAGGAACTGCTTTTAGCTACAGGTAGACATTGGTGCAGGCAAAGGGGCTGTTTCAGTGCACGTTAACTTGCAGAATTGTAAGGGGACACTCTAAGGGCTGTGTGGCAGAAGCACAAGTGGTGACACGATATAAACTCCCTTCCATGAAAAGAATGTGACTCTCCTTGAGAAGCACATTCACTGATGTAAATGTTTCTCAGTGTCTAAAGGAGCATTACTCACCACCTCCAAAGAACAGGAGCAGTAAGATGGTTCCGTTGTTGTGGGCTCTGTGCCTTGAATTGGGTTTTGTGGTTACACAGCTGAATGTCCATGAGGGAGGAAGTTTTAGACACCTCTGAACTTGGCTAACTTGTCACCTAATAAAGATTTAAATAGAAGTGATTAAGGGTGAGACTTCTATACGTGACCTTGCTATCTTGTCATCTTCAAAAGATGATGTCAAGCTTCCTTAATACTAAATAAACATTGCTGTTTAAACATTATTTTAATGGCAGTCAAAAGAAGCACTTTAAAAAAATGTGCAATGTTAATTTGGCAAATAAAATCAGCACTGCAGAGGCTAAGGGGAACAAAATTTGTTTCCTGTGCTGGTTAACTTTATTTGGTGAGCCTTTACCCATTAACGATTAAAAATAAATAAAAAAAAGAAGGGCACAGAGCTCTTCTTCCTATACACTAATGAATGTAGCCTATGAAATGGGATATTTTAAGATATTTTATCCAATCAGGCAAAGAGGTACCAGGTACCACAACACTTGGGGGGAGGGAGGGAAAGGAGGGGGCGCTGGGGAAAGGCAGCAAGATAGAACTGAGTGTCATGGGTTTTTTTTAAAGCGCACATAAGGTAGCATTGACTGCTACTGAGTATTTCTCAATGTTTTTTAATGGTTGTATTTGTGGAACACTTGAGACCAGGTGGGTCTGGAGCACATTATCTGTCAGTAGTGTGTGTGCATCGTGCCAACAGAAGGGTGGTTAAAGGACACTTACTGCCCTTCCAGTAATTTCCAATGCACCAAAAATGCATATTTAAGATAGTGAGGACTTAATACCAATATCATTTGTGGCATATGTGCTACACTGCCTGTGAACTGCAGTATAAGGTCAAAATTAAAGTAATCTCATTTACTACTTTATGACTGCAGCATCTTGAATGTTGGTGTACTTCTTGGAACAGTGCAGTTGAAGGATAATTTTTTTAACCTACTGCTCTATTCATTGCAAATTTGTTGATCTGATGCATTGGTGCATTTAAAATTGTGATGTCTTTTCTGAGAAACAGCACTGTTAAAATTAATGAGTAAATGTTTACTTCTTTCCTAGCAAATAATACCTTTTACTATGCCTGATAACAAGCACAAACCATAATTAAAGATGAGGTATGTAATAAACTTCAAAAAATACCTTTGTCTGGATTGGATTGTGGTTGGATTCCAGCATAGTATCCTTGTGTCAGTAAGGTCTACATCAGTGAAGCACAGAATAATCTTAAAGTTGTCTTCATAGCAAAAGCTGTGATTCTTCAACAGAAGATATACTTGAATTCTCACACCTCAGTTACGTTGATTACACTTGTGATAGTTTAGCAATTTCTGGATATTTTAAAACTGTGATGGAATAACATTTCCAATTAATAAATAACTTCTGTGAAAGCACTGGATTGTGTGGTTCATTACCTTATTCAGTGTTGGGCTGACAAAATGACAGCAGCCACATTGAGTTCAATCTCCAAGTTGCACAGAATTTTTTGTTCTGCTGGCTTTAGCACTGGAAAGAGAGACACTTCTTTGCATCCACACGTTCATAAGGTTTAAGATTTTGGTCACTCCAACTGCAGTTACTTGAATCTAAATCAAATAGTTGAGACTACTCTGACATACTAATATGCCATCAATCATTTTGCATGCAAGTCTTTTATGCTGAATCAGACATTTTACCACAAGATACAGGCTTTATGGATTGGAGTGCCTTTCCCTGCTTTCAGGATATGATTACTTGCATAATTTTTTACTTAATTTATTAACTTAACTTTTTGGAAGCTTTTTATTTCCATTTAGTTAGTACAGTTTTGAAGCCTCAGAAACTGTCTTCTAATTTCCAACCTTAGTCATGGCCAATTTGCATTTTATTTTCCTATGTTACCCTTTTGAACAGCTGTTGTTTCACCCCCCACTGCTTGTCCTCTCTGCGTAAGAAACCCTACAGAAACTCTGTTTACCTGTTCTACTACATACTAACATTTTTAGCTTACACAGGCAGAAATTATCTCCAACTACAGGGCGCAAGGGTTTTTTGGCAAGTCACTCTAGGTAGGTTGTCCATTGGTATGCTAAGCTGGCAGTTACCTTGGGTGGGTGCTCAGAGTAAGTAGGCTCTTGATGCTGGTAACACCAATGCAATACCACTGAAGATGGACAATCAGTCTTACTGATAATTATATTGACCAATATCTAGTACTCAATTTTGTTTACAGCAGCTGGCAGATTGCACTTCGTTATCTCTTGTCACCAAGATCAAGGAAATGTTTAAAGCAGGTTAGCATTCTGCAGCCTTTCCATCTCCTGGACAGCAGTGATGTTAGACACATTTCATGCTTTTACCACTAATTGTGCTTTCATGGTGAAGTCACAGAGCATAAACAGAAGTTTTAAGTTGTTTGCATGGAGTAAAACAGTTTTTACTATTCTAAACCAGGCACATGCTGGGAGTTGGGCAATCCTCTAAGTGAAAGCTTTGACTTGGCATGGAAGTAACTGTCTCACTGTAATGGACAAAGTCACAAGTGTCACTGGTTATGCCCTTTGTCCCAGCCCTACTGCTGGGGTTGAGCCATCTTAAAGGAGGAGCTTTAAGTACAGTGTTCAGAAGCTCCAAGTTAAATTTTAGCACTTTTTTTAAAGTGTTTCCAATGTCAAAACTCTCTGCCTAGGACCTAAGACGTGAGAAATTGGTTTATTCACTTGATCAGTGAATGCTGAAGCTACTTGGCACAACTGGCTTCAGTTGTTGAGGAACCACTACCTTCTGTGGCACAAGCCTAGAGGCTGACTCAATGAAGGGGGGGGTTGGAGGCTACTGCTGTTAACAAAATGTAGGATGCAGGACACTACATATCTCATCAGCTCATTCAGCAACCAGTATTCCTTTGTAGGAGTCAAGTATGGATGCAAGAGGCACCCCATAGACTGTGGCACCGTGTATCCAAATACACTTAAAGTTGCTTTCATGCTATATGCTTTTCCCTTACAGAAAGACACTTATATCTCATAGTACCTTTTATTACCATGATTGAACACAAACTTCACACACCGATGCATGGATTTTTCTATTCCAGCTCAGAAACAGGCAGTGTAATCTACCCCTAGAGCTAAGAGCAATATTTTGAGTTATTTTGCATATTAGTACCTCTGGTTAGGGCAAAGCAGCCACTGTACTGACAAGCACTCCAGCTCAGAAACAGGCAGTGTAATCTACCCCCTGAGCTAACAGCAGTGTTTTGAGTTATACTGCACATTAGTACCTCTGGTTACGGCAAAGCAGCCACTGTACTGACAAGCACTCAAGTGTTAGATTTACTATAGAATACACCACAAAATTTGTGAAGTCACCACACTTGGGATGACAGCTGGTAAATATTTACACACAGCCAATTAGCATGTAAACTCTTACTGTGAAGTGCAGTGCATTGCTTTTCTGCTCTCTGTTGGACTGAATTATGCCACCTCTCTGAAAAAAAAGAAACTGTTTTGCTTTTGTCACTAGGGAGGGAAGGGATGGGATCAGGTTTTGCACTGCTTTTATGTTTAAGTACAGATATAAACTATGGAATATGGCATATCTCGATTCGCCTGACCAGAGTGTTGAGTCCAATGCAGAACACCATAGCTAAAAGAGTACCTGACAAGTTCCTAGAAGGAAAGACAAAACTTTATTAGTAGTTACATAAATGTAGTCATTTCAGCTCAGAAATGGTTCCAGTTACAATACATTACCATTTGCAATAAATAACATTTTCTAGAAACAGATTCCTTATATAAATTCAGTAATAGCTCACCCGTACACGCATGGGGAGAAATGCTTCCATACAGAGACAGACTACTGATGTGCGGCTCACCTGCACTTGATTTGTAGCCCGTGCAAAAGAAAACATGATTTGCCTTTTCTGTCTCCTTTTATTACATTTTATTTCTAAGCTTTAAGGTTCCCTCCCTTTCCTTGGGGAATTCAGGACCTAAAAAGCATGTGAAATGGGTTCTCCTTTGCTGCAGAAGTAAGGGATTAGTATTCTAGTTAGGGATCAATGGTAAGGAACAGCTGATGTTAAGAAATTCTAGTTCACCTCTATCCCATTTCCCACTGTCTAGAGGAATGTATAACTCTCTCAAACCTCACATAAATGACTCAGAAGACTAAAGGACCTGTCATTTTATTAATCACCATCCCAAAGCTCCAGCTGACCACATCCCATTACTACTACACTGGGACAAACCTAGTTTCACTTGAGGCTTAAAACAGGAACAGGAAATTTGCCTAAAACTCCATTCTTTCAAGAACACCAGAATTGCCTAAGGAAAGTTTAAATTCAGCACAGAGAACACACGCACGTGTTCACTCTCTCTAAGTTCACAGACTGTCAAGTTCCCTGCCCGTGTGTGCACTTCTGTTTGCCCACAAGAGACCAAGGAAAAAAAGGAAAATTTCCATCATATGAGCAAACACGACTGACAGCAGAAACCAGATGCTTGAACAGCACCTGTATTTGATGCATTTGACAGAGGGAGACTGCTAAGACTCTGTTTACCTAAAAGGATGCAGCTGAAAATGTATTCTTACACATGAAAAAGAACAACCTTCACCCCACCCCCCCACAAATAAACAGTCCTCTGCAATTAGACCATTCACATTTTGCTTGAAGTTTTCCGCAATCTACTCAGTTAGTAGGAAAGGTTGAACCACAGGACAGAGAATCTGGATTGCATCTCAGCAGATTTGCCAGGGGAAATTTTGGTTAAGACAATTAAAAACAAGCTGATGACCTGTTCGCAGTGTGACAGTTTAGTCTGTTGAATACCTCAGAAGGTAATGGTAAGGACATTTTTTTTCCAAAACACACTTCCTACTTAAAATGCAAATAAAGGCAGTCCATTTACATAGCTGGACAATCCCTGCTTTTGCACTCCTTGGCATGTATAAACATAAAACCAGATGCAAATGAAAATCCATCAAGACCATGAGGTACTGTAAGTGTCAGCACACCCTCTGCCTTCAAAGACAGACAGTATTTTATCAGTGCCAAACTGCATGTATTCTTTATTTTCAGGGGACTCTAAGCCATAAGTGACAAGCTCTACCTGGTCTGCTCTGCTTTTCAAGGCAGATGAGACTGTTGGGAATATCCCCACCCCTATTTCACAACGAAGCTGCCAGGACTCTTTCTGTATATGAAAGAAAACTGTGTGTGGAAGTAAACATGAGGACTGAGAACCTGCTTCAAACCCATCATAACCCAAACCAGGTGACTAGCATCAGAATCCTACCATTGTGTAGAACGACCTTAGCAGCTAATTGTACCACCTCAGCACCTCATTTTCTGACCCTTTCATTCCAGGTCTGACCTGACATTCTGCAAGAAAGCAACAATTCTAGAAATAAAAATTATACTGCATCAAGATACAAAGCTTGCTGCAGTTTCTCCTAGATACCTGACAAAAATCACGCTTTGCCAAGCAATACAAACATGTGATGTCACTAATTCACAGAGCCAGAAATTATTATGTTCAATTTCTCTGCAAGTTTCATATTAAGAGCAAGCCTGATCTTACATAAGAGGAATGACTTCTCCTTCCAAGGAGGTGGAAGGATCTAACTAGAAGAATCAGAAGCAGCTCAATAAATTTAAACTATATTCAACTTCCAAAACATAACTAAAATACTTTTAGCAACGAAGATGTCAAAGCATCATCTAAAGAACAGGCTTTAGTAAGCAACTTCCAGTGGCTAGGGCCTTATACAGGAAGAAATTGGTCTAACATTTCTTATTTGTTAGAGTGAGAAATGCTTAGCCAAATCATGAACTTACCAATGATACAAAGATCTGAGCCCACAGCATGTGTGTGTGGGAGGGGGAATAGCCTTAGGAATTCTGCAGCACTGAGGAAAGCAGGTTTATGATTCCTGTAGTTGGTTGACTAGAGAATCAGTCTTTAGGTCGTTTGTTTCTTTAAAAGAAAAAAAAAAAAGTCTGAATTTTAATTCATTGAAAGAACAACCTCCTCCTAGGCCTCAGCACCAGCTTTAAAAACATAAAATGAACTCAAAACACACTTCACAACGATGCTGCTGACTGCACTGACGTGTTTTAAAAGGTAAGTTTACCTATAAAGGCACACTGGATACAGCATTAAGCAGAAGCATGAATGGCAGCGTGGCCAATACAAAGTTGGAGTTGCTTATGCAACATTTTTTATTTTTTTTTTTTAAATGTATGTTTCCAAGAGCATAATTCCTACTAGAACATTTTGGGGATTTGTGCAGAATGGATTAAGCCCAACATTTTGATTTAAAAAAGAAAAAAAAAAAACACCACCAAAACGTACTTTGAGCGAATATTGCGTTATTGTGTTAACACATCTGGAGCAGAATTTGAAAGACATCAGAAGCTGACCTTGCTTTTATTGACCAAGTTATTAAAAAAAATATATATATACACACACTCAAGAAGGGAGAGGGTGAAATAAAATAGATTTGTTTCAATAAATAGCCTAAAACCCCCATACACAAAGTTAAAACTTGGCTTCTGAAGAAAGCAAATCATACCATTTATACTGCATCTTGCTGGTGGGGACAGGAAAAACATGGACAATACTTGCATTAGCCCTTTTTAGCTCTTCACAGCCTCTCTCACCACAGGTCCTGCAGCCATACTCAGCTCTCCAGAGAAACGGAGGGCTGGGCACAGGACAAATGCTCCTCAGTGCAGTATCAGTAGCCTTAGGGACTGTTGCTGGCTGCATTTGAGAATCAAAGGTATAAAACCAGTTAAGAGCATGTCATGTTGCTGCAACTTTTAACTACTGATTCCTTTCAGCCTAGACAGTTGCTCTGCCTTTTGCCCAGCTCCATTAAAAAGAGAAGTGCAGAAGCCAGTGTTCGACCTGACTACTCTGCTCTATCAGACTTCTATGAAAGGGTGGAGAAAGCCCCAGAATTCTCCACCAAATTATTCCTCATGATGGAGGTGGGCTATGTGCCCTCCCTGACCCTTCTCATCTGCTCCCCTCAATCTCTATACTGCTCCACCCTTCTCTGTTAATGGATTCTCCACCACCAGATTTAAAACAAAACAAAACAGTTAAAAAAACCCCAAACCTATCCAAAATGCTCCCAGAGGAACGTTTTCTCCATCAGAACACATCATTCCTCCAGCTCAGCCTAAGACTCCAGCATGTCAGTAAAGGACCCCCAAGTAAAGCTGACATTGTGGCCAGACAGTACAACAGATGCCCCCCCAAAGTGAGGTTTATATAGAAAAGCCAAATCTTCAGTTTAGGATTTCAAGACAGTGTTGGGGCATGGCTTTGAAGCCTAACAAGCTTACTCAGATTGAGAATGGGAACACCAGAACTCCAACACACCTTCCCTTCCCAAACACTTGAAGGGATCTCGTTAGGCCAACACATCTAGTCACTGAATAGCCACAGAGAAAAAAGTAAAAGCATCTAATACTCAAGCTAAAACCTTCCTCAGTACCAGTTCCCATGACAGGGAAGGTAGGTGTTGAACCTCCTGCTCCTCATTGGGTATTTTGCCACAAGAATTTCACTACACAAACAAAGTCTTAAAAGGTCCAGAGCTCCTTAAAAGTGGTCTCTAAGCAATTTTTCGGGATGCTCAAATTGCTCCTGAAGGCTCATCACACTGAGTACTTTCTGCTACTGTTTCCCATCTAGACGTGGCAGACTCCAGAGAGCCAAAGCACCTTCATCATTACAGAAGCAACCTAAGGCTGGACTTCCCTGCAGGCACCATACTTTGTAAATACAGGGAACGCTGCATCCTACAGGACACAGGTGTATCACAATACCTTACAGCTGATTAAGTGCCACCACTAATTGTAAGCTTCCTTTGAAAACAAAGACATTTCCACCTGATGAGCACTACCCTAGAAAAGAAAGTCACAAAGCACAGTCAAAGATAAATACAATTCACTAAAAATGCTCTCTTTTTGTATTCCCAACCTAAACTGAAAAATGAAGATGGTCACATATTGCTCTCTAAATTTGCAAGGGAATTTATCTATATTGGCTTTTGCTGTTTTAGGTCAGCAACATAATTGCATTGTTTCTCAAAGAAAGAGAGAGCTAGGAGCACATGACACAAATCTTTATGCATCTCAGTTACCGTTGGTAGTAGCGTAACAGCCCTGGCTTAGTTTTGTAGCAGCGACACAGGAAAAGTCCTTCTGAAGTTCAAACACTCAGCATGGAACATGCAAGAAATAAGATGTGCTTTTCCATGTTCCTGTAACAGTGACAAGAGGAGTTAGCTGACCATCTAGTCCTTTCTCCTTCCTTCCCCTAACTGTGCTAGAAATTTACCCTTTCATCTGCAATTAGTTGATATTTTAGGAAGCTTTCGGTTCTGGAAAAACAGAGGTGGACCAACGGGTTTCAGATGTGTTGGACCAGCGTGTTCTGTGCTTTTACCCTCATTCAGTTATCTGTCTTTGGAGCTGTAGTTGAAGGAAACTCCGTTTCTGATGGATCCATTCATGAGGGTTTTAGGATTCTCCCTTTCAATCTTTTCTCTGCTGAAGATAGTGTCCTGATCACTGTCAAACTCTGACTCGGAGACCATCAGACTGGAGTTGTGTTCTGTACTTCTGTGTTTTATACCTGACAATAAAAAAAGCAAAACAAGCTCTATTAGAAAGGTTTCACTTTTCAGTAACAACTAACTATTCTCGCTTCTGCTGTGATAGGAAATATAAGTGAAAACATTCTCTGTGATCCTGCATAACAGCATGTACCACGGCAACCACCGACGTAAGAACTGGCCCAAATATACAGTCGGGCAGATACTCTTCTGAATTCATTGCAGGCCCATCAATTTATGGCCCTGAAATGTGAATATATCCATTTAAATTTGACACCATTAGATGATCTGAGTACCTAGCTGATGTACATTTAATAGCTTGAATCTAGAAATTAGTCTGTCCGCTCAGCTATCTGACTAACATGAGCAGCAACAAAAGGACATGGTTTCTACAGAAATGTTATGTCTGTCTTTCTTGGACAGCAATTTCTCAGGATGACTTTATTTCCCTAGATTACAGCATTTCCCCTGCTTAAAACGGAAACTCAGGTGAATCAAAACGTATGTGAGCAGAGGGTAGCAGCTGAAGTCTACTGATGTTTAACAGGGCACTTCTGGGCCAGGAGGGAACAGCTCCAAATCAAAGTGTGTGCTGGGGAGGAGGAGTTACACACCTAATTTTCTGTGGGACAATTAGATGTTCTAAATGAAGATTAGCAAAGAAGCTCAGAACAGTGGCTGATGTCAACTCAAATACATTGACTGTAAGCTTGGTGGAACATGGCAGATTCCAGAGAGCCAAAGCACCTTCATCACCACAGAAGCAACCTAAGGCTGGACTTCCCTGCAGGCACCATACTTTGTAAATACAGGGACCACTGCATCCTACAGGACACAGGTGTATCACATTACTTTACAGCTGATTAAGTGCCACCACTAATTGTAAGCTTCCTTTGAAAACAAAGACATTTCCACCTGATGAGCACTACCCTAGAAAAGAAAGTCACAAAGCACAGTCAAAGATAAATACAATTCACTAAAAATGCTCTCTTTTTGTATTCCCAACCTAAACTGAAAAATGAAGATGGTCACATATTGCTCTCTAAATTTGCAAGGGAATTTATCTATATTGGCTTTTGCTGTTTTAGGTCAGCAACATAATTGCATTGTTTCTCAAAGAAAGAGAGAGCTAGGAGCACATGACACAAATCTTTATGCATCTCAGTTACCGTTGGTAGTAGCGTAACAGCCCTGGCTTAGTTTTGTAGCAGCGACACAGGAAAAGTCCTTCTGAAGTTCAAACACTCAGCATGGAACATGCAAGAAATAAGATGTGCTTTTCCATGTTCCTGTAACAGTGACAAGAGGAGTTAGCTGACCATCTAGTCCTTTCTCCTTCCTTCCCCTAACTGTGCTAGAAATTTACCCTTTCATCTGCAATTAGTTGATATTTTAGGAAGCTTTCGGTTCTGGAAAAACAGAGGTGGACCAACGGGTTTCAGATGTGTTGGACCAGCGTGTTCTGTGCTTTTACCCTCATTCAGTTATCTGTCTTTGGAGCTGTAGTTGAAGGAAACTCCGTTTCTGATGGATCCATTCATGAGGGTTTTAGGATTCTCCCTTTCAATCTTTTCTCTGCTGAAGATAGTGTCCTGATCACTGTCAAACTCTGACTCGGAGACCATCAGACTGGAGTTGTGTTCTGTACTTCTGTGTTTTATACCTGACAATAAAAAAAGCAAAACAAGCTCTATTAGAAAGGTTTCACTTTTCAGTAACAACTAACTATTCTCGCTTCTGCTGTGATAGGAAATATAAGTGAAAACATTCTCTGTGATCCTGCATAACAGCATGTACCACGGCAACCACCGACGTAAGAACTGGCCCAAATATACAGTCGGGCAGATACTCTTCTGAATTCATTGCAGGCCCATCAATTTATGGCCCTGAAATGTGAATATATCCATTTAAATTTGACACCATTAGATGATCTGAGTACCTAGCTGATGTACATTTAATAGCTTGAATCCAGAAATTAGTCTGTCCGCTCAGCTATCTGACTAACATGAGCAGCAACAAAAGGACATGGTTTCTACAGAAATGTTATGTCTGTCTTTCTTGGACAGCAATTTCTCAGGATGACTTTATTTCCCTAGATTACAGCATTTCCCCTGCTTAAAACGGAAACTCAGGTGAATCAAAACGTATGTGAGCAGAGGGTAGCAGCTGAAGTCTACTGATGTTTAACAGGGCACTTCTGGGCCAGGAGGGAACAGCTCCAAATCAAAGTGTGTGCTGGGGAGGAGGAGTTACACACCTAATTTTCTGTGGGACAATTAGATGTTCTAAATGAAGATTAGCAAAGAAGCTCAGAACAGTGGCTGATGTCAACTCAAATACATTGACTGTAAGCTTGGTGGAGGAGTTCCCAGCCGAGATAGAGAATGCTTACCATATTTGGGTCGTAGCTCCATTCTCTCCTGCTCATCTATGTTATCTAGGATGGTATATTTCGTTTTCTTTCTTATCTTTGTCCTCTTTCTGCTAAAGAGAAAGTCACAAAGACATTTAGTTCTCATGTACACACATAAATCTGCTCCCTGGCCCTTTTCATACACACAGCTACATACCCCAATATACAGAACCTCACTGTACTTTCTCACCTCCACTTAAAAATAGTTGTTCCAGTTCATACCTCTATAAAGCAGCTGTACAACATCGACCAGAGTGTATAATTTATTTTCTCTGGCTTTCTTTGTGTATCAGAGAAAGATTGACATGCTTTCCTAGGCCACAGGGGTTCAGTTTGTTCAATTTCACCACAGTAACTAGACACAAGGTAGATATATTCATTTATTTCCAAAGAAAACTTCTGTAAGAATTGGGTTATTCCCCATTTTTTTTTTTTGCATTTTTTTTTAACTGAGGGAATTTAAGTGGTGCTTGTCTGATTATGCTTACAGAGAAGGCCAGACAAAAATGGAGACTGTCTCACTCGTATAGATATATATATGCAGGGATAAAACCCTACTGGTTTGTAGGCAAATCCCCACCTGTTCTTCCTTCATTTAAATGGCAACTCATCAAAGCCTTTAAAACATCCAAAACTCCAGCCAAATCTTGGACTACGGTGTATCTTTCTCCTGTAGTTTCCACAAAGAAGAGGGCATTTCTTGCCATTCTGTCCTGTGCAAAATTTCCCTCCTCTTTTTCACACACATCTGTATCAACCAGCCCTCACTCTCTGCCACAAGCCACAGGAGGACAAAGGACAGAAGCAGATGAACTCCATAAACAATCTCTTTCTCATAAAGTCCACACAAGGCTCCACCCCACACTGTGGGGATGGAGTGGGACATACTTCTATTTAAACCTTTCTACCAACAGCAGCATTCCTTCAACCATAAAAAGGAAATCAGTATCAACTCCGACGCATTTCGAACAGCACCGTTTACATACTGCAAAGGCACTCAGGGAAAAGTTCAAAATCCAGAAGGATTCTGACACCGTTTCATTTTTGCTAACACCTGAACAAGCTATCTATTTGCTGGGCTTTTTAAACAGCACCAAAACCACTTGCTCTAGTGACAGAACTCGCAGGGGCTTGTCACTTGAAAGAGAATTTCTTATCTGCTCACTAGGAACGACCTGGAGGAGGAACAGAGAGGGAAATGACATACAGTAATAGGCAAAACTATTTAAAGAAAGAGGAAGCAAGATGTGTGACTGAGATCACTGGAGCACTCCTTGCCAGTCAGCCAGATGCAGCCCATGTGTTGGCCCATCCTGTCCAAGGTAGACACCAGGTTGGGAGCATCTCCCTTACCATGGCATAGAGCACCCCTACACCAGTGATCTTCAGGGCATGCCTCTCTTTTCTTAGCGTGGAGTACCTGCAGGACTCAGTGGGAGACCATGAAGATCTGCAGTCCACACTCAGCATTTTAACATAAATCATCTCTTAATATGAAAGATACTCCAATATAAGTTTCTTGGTTTGTGAAATGCAGAAGAGCACAGAGGCACAAATAGATACTTCTTTTTTCAACAAAAGCCTGCCTATACAGAAATAGCTTCTCACGTGTCTGAAAAGAGTTCAGTGGTTTAGTGCTAAGAACTGGACTAAAATGTGGCTGTTGTGTGCAGTTTTTGCATATACCCCATCGAAAAGAAACACAAATCATGTACCTTTTGCAGCAGCAGATGCAGAACCAGGCAAGCCCTACCATGACCACAGTCAAAATAAACACAGATACAGTCACATAGAGTATACTCCACTCTGAAAAAAGAAACACAACAGTGCTTTGCAGAGTAATACTGATAGGATAATTTCTAATACAATTCTATTAGAATAACCAGTCATGAGGAATGGGGAGTTGCAACAGAAACCCAGGAAAATTTAGCACCTTCGTATTCTTGGAAGAATCTCTAAAAATTCTTAAGCTTTCAGATTAAAAAAGCATGTTTGAAAATTTTCTTCCACTCCACTACCTTTTACTGTCCCAAGATACCTGAATTCTATGTGTGAACTGAAAGTCAAGAGGACATGGTTATGACCTCGGTTGTCATTCTCTGACTGAAATAAACATAGGTGTACCCTGGGTCCAGCATTTTAGTAGTGCTTTAAAAGAGCAGCAGATTGGAGATAGACCCTTCTACCCACACGTTTACATTTGTAAATCCAGGAAAACATGAGAAGGACACAGAGAGATGTGCAATAATGTGAACTCCAACCTGTGTGTACTCACTATTTTAGTGTTACTATCAGACCACAGAACAACACAGCATTAGGGCAGGGTTGCTGGAGGTCCCAGCCTCAGGCTTAAAACCTACTGTCCCATTTTGGTTGATCAATTAGTCTTTACTCTCTAACAGACACATGACCCATGGTTATTTAATGGCACATAACAAGCTTCATCTAAATTTCTGTAGATTTACTTGAAGATTAGTGCATTGCTCAGCAAATGTCTCCAAGCCTGCACAATACTAAGAGTTTGGTCTCTAATTGGTCTAATTCAAGTAGGAGACCAATTTAGTTAAATTAAAACTATTAAATATTTGAAATAGAGAGGCTTAGCTGATACTTTAGGTACACCACAAAATATAGACATGATTAAGCTGGCGAAACTAAATTGCGTTTCCCAGTACAACAGGCAAACTGAAAGAAACAGTGAAATTGATCCCCCCATTCTAACAGGAAATAATCAATAGTCTCACAAGATGACAAGTTATTCTTGTTGTTATTCCCACAACACCCAAACTCACCACAATTACTCTCCCCATCATTCAGGTAACGGTGAATCAAGTGTTGCAACAGAAACCCAGGAAAATTTAGCACCTTCGTATTCTTGGAAGAATCTCTAAAAATTCTTAAGCTTTCAGATTAAAAAAGCATGTTTGAAAATTTTCTTCCACTCCACTACCTTTTACTGTCCCAAGATACCTGAATTCTATGTGTGAACTGAAAGTCAAGAGGACATGGTTATGACCTCGGTTGTCATTCTCTGACTGAAATAAACATAGGTGTACCCTGGGTCCAGCATTTTAGTAGTGCTTTAAAAGAGCAGCAGATTGGAGATAGACCCTTCTACCCACACGTTTACATTTGTAAATCCAGGAAAACATGAGAAGGACACAGAGAGATGTGCAATAATGTGAACTCCAACCTGTGTGTACTCACTATTTTAGTGTTACTATCAGAACACAGAACAACACAGCATTAGGGCAGGGTTGCTGGAGGTCCCAGCCTCAGGCTTAAAACCTACTGTCCCATTTTGGTTGATCAATTAGTCTTTACTCTCTAACAGACACATGACCCATGGTTATTTAATGGCACATAACAAGCTTCATCTAAATTTCTGTAGATTTACTTGAAGATTAGTGCATTGCTCAGCAAATGTCTCCAAGCCTGCACAATACTAAGAGTTTGGTCTCTAATTGGTCTAATTCAAGTAGGAGACCAATTTAGTTAAATTAAAACTATTAAATATTTGAAATAGAGAGGCTTAGCTGATACTTTAGGTACACCACAAAATATAGACATGATTAAGCTGGCGAAACTAAATTGCGTTTCCCAGTACAACAGGCAAACTGAAAGAAACAGTGAAATTGATCCCCCCATTCTAACAGGAAATAATCAATAGTCTCACAAGATGACAAGTTATTCTTGTTGTTATTCCCACAACACCCAAACTCACCACAATTACTCTCCCCATCATTCAGGTAACGGTGAATCAAGTTTTCCATCCACAGCTGGTAGCAAATACAGCGCTTTGTTATGGGGTCACAGTGTCCATGTCCAGAACATTTTAAAAGACAGGCTAAGAACAAAACCAAACACAGGGTCAGTTGTGTGAAAGGACAATTTGTCATGCATCATCTTACTGTGAGATTAGAAAGCACCCAGTTCATAACATTCCGTTATTTTTTAAAATCTCCCTTACATTTGGTGTCATGGGTTAAACAGATTTACAGTTAAACAGTTAAACAGTTCAGCAGACTGCTGGCTATTGAAAGAAAAATAAGAATATATCTTAAGCCTACAATATTGAGAGCGTATGCAAGTCTGGAACAGTTTATTCTAACCAGAAATAAAGATCAGTTGAAACTGAGGAATTCAGACCTGCTTCTTTCTTTATGACATATTCCTAAGAACTTCTAAAGTACCTGAGAACTGAGGAATATCAGTGTTCTCAGGTACAAGACGACAAGCATCATGAACTAGAGTTATTTCAGTATTTTAAAACTGAATTAAAGCTTCTTAGGCCAGAATGTTTACATACCTCCCGGGCTTACAGTAGTAGCTATTGCTAGATTAATGTGTCACATCGGACTAAAATAAAAAGTTACTCCCCTTAAAACTTAGAGCAGCAGTTTTGCCATGTCAAGAAAAATGTTAATGCATATTTTCAAGTGATCCCTACGCATTTTGGTAATCAAGGTACATATACAAAGAACAAAAGTCCTTATCAACAGGCAAATACAGATAGAATTTACTACAGAATCAATTAGTATTTTACTGCTAGAGTTTGCTCACTTTGTTTGCATTTGCATGATTACATCCCGATTTTAAACTATAGAGAAGTTTTACCTATAACATTTAAGTATCATAAAGGGTTCACATTACTAGTGAAGTTCAAAACAGGCTTAGAAGTTCAAGCATCTTTTTGGGGAAAACCAAAAGTTCCTAACAAGAAACCCCAGCAGCCTGTCTACATTGTAAATATTAGAAGATTAGGTGGTAATACAGTGATCTCCAGACCATTTTGCCTGATAACAACAGACAAAATCAAGTTATAATATAAGTTTATTACTGAACACTACAGGCCTGGAAGGAACCAGAGACATGAAACAGCCTATATTATGGCTCTATTAAGTTTTGCCTATCTTCCAAAGATGGTATAAGAGGGGTATCTTTATCCTCATTGCCCAGGCTTTCCTGATGCAGACCAGGTTAAGATGCGCTTTTGCCTGCTGTTAACAGGTGATGTCTTCTTTTAAAAAAACACAAGTAACTGACACTACTACTACAAACAAACAAGCATTTTCATTATCCTCATCTTTCAGAAAGCTACATCCAAGCCCAAACACCAGAGGGCAGACAGAAAACCTTCATGCACTGTTTCCAAGTGCTGTGTCAGCCAAATGCCTGCAAAGTTCTGAGTTAACCAAGCACTATCCAAAACGTACCAGCTGTGTCAACCCGCAGGACTTTAAAAAGCAGAAAGTCAGCCTTCTCCTTCAAAAGCTGCACATGCAGAGTTCGTGAGACATCTGATGCCTTGATCACCTTGGAAGGATGCCCGTTCTGCACGTAGAACACAACCGCGGTGCTGCAGAAAGAAGAGCTGAGGTCATGACTGCTGTCAAAGATGACTTTTGTCAGGCATTCAGTTTACAGTCTTTGGTTGTGTTTGTTTCTGGAAAGCAAATGTCACCACTGATAACGATCCGGGAATTCTGTCCATGGATCAATCGACTCCATCCAAATGCCATGAGCTTCATTCTAGGCCAGGAGCACCAGCAGTTCTCTGGCTTCTCAGTTGCACGGAAGAAAGGTGAGGACAACAGCAAGTGTAATTCCCTCCCTTGGTCTTCCTGACTCTTGCTTTAAGAGAAGCATGTATACATTTGCTTTCCACGCTCTTATCTAGAACCTGTCACAAAGCACCCTGAAGCAGTTTGAGTAACTTTAGGCAGCTGAATTTAAGAGAAGGAAAAGCTCAGAAGCAAGGGAACCAGGGAATTTCATGTGGGAGCCCTCCCCCAAACCCCATCTTTTTAGGTTGGATGGTGTTTATCTCACATTGTATCAGACACTCAGGAAAAACTCTATTCAAAAAGCAGTAATTGGAAGCTGTGATTAAAAATATCCTAGCTATAAATGCTAGATTTTACAATCCATTTCTTTTTAATATTTAAGAGGTTCCCCGAGCGCTAAACAGGCAACAAAATGGGTTTTAAATTACTGAGTAGTTAACAAGAAGTAATTTAAAGATAACTCATGTCAACGGGTTCTACCAATCATGCTGGGAAGTTTCTCTGGGTACACAAAGCCATCTTTAGCCCTCTACACCAAGTAGAGGGGGTATATCTACTTCAGAGTAAGATACCACACTTTGGAGTATCCACTGTGCAGTTTTCTCTGCAAAAAAAATGGATTTTCACCACCAGTTACCTGGGGAAGAGTTTATAAAATACTTAGAATATCAAAACTTTAGAGAGTAAGTATAAGAGGGATAAAACAGGTTTGATGCAGCTGGAACCTTATTCTGAAATATACAATACTTGCTTCACTGTGAGAATGTCTGTCTCACTCCATCCAGCATTTGGGGAAAAATAATAGCACTGTGTGGAACAAAGATGCTGAAATATACACACACATTTCCTTTAAAGAAATAAATTTAAAAAAAACTATACAGAGAATTATTTTTTTTAAAAAAGCAAAACACTTCAGTTCTGAGACTCCAAAGAGCTTACTTCATCCATTTTCTACCACAACAGAAGAAATTCACCTTTTAAAGTATATACTGTTGAAAGCTATAGCATCTTTTGTTGTTGTCTTAGAAAATATAATTTTGCAACTAATTATGAGCTGTGAAAAAGTCAATGAAAATCACAAATCTTCCTGGAACAGCAGGATATCTTTCTACCTTATATCTGAGTAGGCTTGTATCTTCTGAACTTTGATATCTGAATCCAAAACATTCAGCAATACAGCCAGCTGTCTCACCAGGGTGTCCTTCTGCTGTTCACTCAGCTGTCCCACTCCAACTTGCAGAATCAGCTCCACCAGACCACTCCTTTTGGGATCTGACAGAAGAAGAACATGCTATTCTTTCAGAGCCTGGCAAATGTTTCAGTAACAACCGAAGACAACATGCAGTACTCCACATTAACACTGTATTTTCCTGCATAAGGCCCATATAACCCCATCCTTTTGTGTTCTTAGAAAAGTACTTAGCCTATATTTTCACATTCCCTCTGAAACAAATCTGGGAGGTCCTAAGATAGCAACGCAGCTTATCAGCTGAAATGAAGCACTTCAGCGTGCACTTCAGCTCAGTGTTAAACCATTTCTGCGCAGAACAGCAACTTCAGAGGAGGGTAACAAAGCTGGTGAGGGGTCTGGAGAATAAGTCTTATGAGGAGAGGCTGAGGGAGCTGGGGTTGTTCAGCCTGGAGAAAAGGAGGCTGAGGGGAGACCTTCTCACTCTCTAGAACTACCTGAAAGCAGGGTGTAGAGAAGCGGGAGTCGGTCTCTTCTCCCAAGTCACAGGAGATAGGACAAGACAAAATAGCCTCAAGTTGTGCCAGGGGAGGTTTAGATTGGATATGAGGAACAATTTCTTCACTGAAAGGGTTATTAAGTGTTGGAATGGGCTGCCCAGGGAAGGGGTTGAGGCACCATCCCTGGAGGGATTTAAAAGATGGGTTGACATAGAGCTTAGTGACATGGTTTAGTGATGGGTTTTAATCAGAGTTAGGTTGATGGCTGGACTAGGTGATCTTAAGATCCTTTCCAACCTAGAAAATTCTAGGATTCTGCTCCCCTAAATGCCACCATCTTAAGGACAGACATAAGCACTAGGTGAGTCTAATAACTCTTAAATTCTCTGCTAGTTATCTGATGCTGGCTACCATCCAGGAAAAGTGAGGCGAAGGAGGACTCATATGGCAGCATGCAAGACTGTGTGAGCAAGTCTAAATGAGGATGGTCAATCTGAAAAATATCAAATACGTTTACCTTCATAAACTGAGGGTTCCCTTAAATAATACTTGAACTTCTAGAGTGCCTTGCAAAAAAACCCAAGCTTCCCAGATATCCAATGAGAATCCTAGACCAATTATTGTGACTACATTCAACAATAAAGTGGGGAACAGACATAAAATCATTGGCCAGGAACCAGACAAACAAGAAATCTCTGACAGACCCAAGATTTCCGACTCATTTCCTGAAATCTCAACTTATGCTTCTATCACATAACCATTTATCCTGCGTTTGAAAACAAGCCTATATATGAGCAATACCAAACCAGAAAAGACAATTGAAACTCCCTGAAATTGTTTGAGGTTTGTTTTTGTCCTTCAGGATGAAGATAGGAAAACAAGCATAAGAGCACACTCTCAACCATCAAACACACAACTGCAGCAATTGCACCTAAACTTAATGCTCAGCTCCCATCTCTTTCCATTGGCCAAATGGATTAACCACCAGGAAAGAGGACCCAAACCCTATAGTGAATGAAAAATCAACAAAAATTGAATGAAAATCTTAACTAGGAAGTATGATCTATCTATATTTATGCTTCCAGTAAGGCAACGGTATAAATCGGTAGCTAAGAACCCTGACACATTGTCTTCTAAACACACTCAGGCCTATTGAGAGAACAATAAGAAGGCAGGAAAAGATCTGTTCGTTTTGTGTTTTAACTTGAGAGAACCTTGTCAACATTGAAATAAATAAGTGAAAAGGAAGGAGAACAAAGATGAGGTATTCACAACGTATCGATGACCTTTTAATTGTCATACCAGGCCGCACTTCAACAGTTGCTGAATCAATATCTGAGTCTCCTTTAGCATCCGTCACTTTCAAGTGAAACGTATAGGTTCCTTCTACCAGATTAGTCAGCTGCAGCACTGCTTCGTGGTCTGAGCCATGGATCACATCCTGCCAAAGAAAAAAGAAAAGGTATTGGGATGATAGAGAAACTCAAAGAAAGTCGCAGGAGTGGCTGTCAAGTTGCATATCTGGTACGACAGCGTGAGCTCTTGCTTTGGCTTTTAGGACAAAAATTACCTACCCACAGTTTATAGCAGAGTAACACAAATTTGGAAGAGGCAGTTAATGAGGACGTCTGCACAGTAAGGATATTTTCATTAAAAATAACCCAGACAGAACAGCTGACACACTCAAGTACTCATCTGCTTGAAAATCTGAGACAGTTACATTATTATTTCTCAATTGTACTCCAGTATCCTTAGTTCTGCTTTCTTAATTCCCAATTTATTTCCTTTCCTTGGACTTCATTTATTTCCAGCTATCATCTCTGCCAGCTATATTTAAGCTAAACCTCTTCAATTCTTCTCATACCCTCTTGTGAATCGCCTCTAGCAGCTTTGTTATCATTTTGCTGTTTTTCCTCTCCCAGTTCTTGCTGATTTCCCATTGCCTTCCAGACTGGGAAGTGCTGTCCACACCATTTTCTGCAGATCAGTAACACAGTTTTAGCAGCTGATATACAAACTTCAGTTTATCATGAGGTGCTTTCTGCTGTCTGCTCCCACTTAGGAGAGCAGGCTCCACTGACTTAATGACCCAGGTTATTCACTGTCATCTGCCAGGCAAGGTAACTACACACCTAGAACCAAACACCATTTTTATCTTAAACTGCAAGTTTCACCTCGTGTTACCAGACACAATTCCCTAATCTTCATGGGTACTTCTTGCTCTCTCAGACGTTTCCTCCTTTGGAGTATCTGGATTTCAGATGATTTTTCTCTCAAACACATCACCTTGGTACTATCACCAATTAAGCTCTTAAGAGACACAACTTTATTCTTCTGTCTTGAGTCCTTCCCAATTAAGTCCACATTGCTGCAGTGCTCCTACTTAACTACCATACTCTACAGTTGTACTGAAAATATCACAAGTCCCTGGAACTAAAGTGTTAGAGCAGGGGAGACAAACCAGAAACAGGCACCATGCCTCATGGCATCTTACAAGTCATACCTGCTTGCCCTGTGGCAGTGACGCTACATGCATAACAAGAGCCAAAATTGACTTGTGACAACCTTGAAGAAACTTACCCCAGCTGCTGGGCTTTGACCATCCCGAATCCACAAATAGGACACAATCCCCTGGTCATCAGCAGACCTTGAGCCATCCAAGGTAACAGAATTATTTGGAAGCACTAGAACATGCTTCCCACCAGCATGCGCCCGGGGTGGACTGTTGTTTTCTAGCCGTAAAAATAGTGGAGGAGAAGGATTTGCTTTCAAAACATGCAAAATGTGACATGCCATTGCCAATACACCCACACTGCAATTCTTTACCTGATGACTGCAGGCAATAACAACAGCATCTCATGTCAAAGGTACAGGGAAAGGATGAGTGGGTATTACAGAATTTTGGATTATTACAACCTGACAAAAGCAGAGCTGCACCACGAGGAAAATACCAATAAGAGGTACTGTCCAAAAAGATATTTTTCAAAAAGCATTGTGGGGTACTTTATTTACAGTCTCACAATAATTTAAGCATCAGATCTTTTCTAGTCAAGGGAAAATATTTTCTGCCTACTTAGAAACACAGCCCAGTACGAGATCACCACACTGGGCTCTTCTTGTCTTGAGAATCACTTATTACTGAACAGAAGCTTGTGTAAGGTCTCACACCTTCACAAAGCCTGTCCTTAGGCAACGTGGAATCGGGAAACTTAAGAGTAAACCCAGTTCCCAAATGCTTTTTGCTTACTGCTAGCAGTGAAATTAAGGCATGCATTGGGAGGATGCCAAAAAACACCAAAGAAACACAAACACATTCTCTTTGCAGAAATCAGACATCACTGACTTCTGTTTAGAACACAACTGATAAGACAGAGGTCCAAGAAGCTGTGAGGCTGAGTGAAATACCTTGCTGGTCTGAATATTAGGTTGGACATAAATAATTCAATTTTGGGCAGATCTCCAGGGCATTGGCCATAACTTTCTCTGTTCTCTGGTCCAAACAAGATTTGAGATTATTATGCCACCTTCTTTAAAAGGAGGCATAGGCCCACAGAGAATGCTAAAATCACTCCCTAAGGAACAATATGAGGAAATAGATTGTTGGATTATCACCACCTGCAAACCTGAGGATGTAATGTAACTCAAAGCTATTAAATCTGTCAGGAGCACCTGACTGTACCTGCGTCAGAAGAACAACAAAGCTGGTGAAGGGTTTAAAGAACAGGTCTTATGTTCAGCTGAGGGAAGTGGGGTTGTTCAGCCTGGAGAAAAGGAGGCTGAGGGGAGACCTTCTGGCTCTCTAGAACTACCTAAGACAAGGGTGTAGGCATGGTGGATGCTGGTATCTTCTCCCAAGTAAGAAGTGATAGAACAAGAGGAAACAGCCTCAAGTTGACCCAGGGGAGCCTTAGATGGGATATTAAGAAAAAATTATTCACTGAAAGGGTCGACAAGCATTGGAATAGGCTGCCCAAGGAAGTGGTTGAGTCACCATCCCTGGAGACATTTCCAAGACCTGTAAATGTGGTGCTGAGGGGCATGGTTTAGTAGTGGACTTGGACATTGGTCAGACTCAATGATCTTAAAGGTTTTTTCCAACCTAAACTATTCTAAGATTTGTGATCTCACACAAAAGGTATTATCCTAAAACCTCTTCTACAGTATGCATGGTGGTCAAAAAATAATGAAAAAACCACCACAGCAACTGTTTCTCTGTATAAAAAAAAAAAACCCAAAACAGAATAAAAACTTAACATTGAAAGACTGTATTTAAGTGGAAATTGATACACTTTGAGACCTCTCTTCTTTGACGTTACTTAAAACCCAATAAAATTGCTTTTCTGCCAAAGCTTAACTTTGAGAATAAAATAAAAACATATCCTCAACGAAGTAGACACATCCTAGTCAAAAACAGTATTTTGGAGCATTTTTGTTACAACTAATTCTGCATATATTTAAGTGCAGCAAGCGAAGTTAATCCTACCAGCCACTCACAATAGCAGTAACTATTCTTGAATACCCTTGAAATAGGACAACAAATACATTATCCCTTTCTGTTCTGTTCTGATTTCCATTACAGTCTGTCAATTAACTGGTGAGTTGCCTACACTATGCCAAGAAGCAGCAACTAAGCTTACCTTCCTTCACAGTAATGGACAGCACAGATGCACTGCTCAAGCCCTGTTGGTCTTTCACCGTCAGCCGGAAGCGATAGGTACCAACCTGAAGACCAGTCACAGTTGCTACTGCTTTGTCACCATTTTCCATCTGTACGGAGCTTGGTCCACTGAAACAAAACATCTCAGAAAAATAATCCTGCACAGCCAGCAAAATTGTTCTTTCAGCAGAATCACTTATGCCATTTGCTTCTATATATATTGTTCTACCATCACTATAAGCACTGATGGTTAAGAAGTATACGAGACGTGAGTTTACCGCAGAAAATTCATAAATCCTTTTTTTTCAAGGCATTCAAAGCACCCAAGCATCACATACCCAGTTACCAGAAGATCAGAAAATGAACCCCAGAAGCCCAGTCTCCTTGCTGTTCTGTTTCATGGGAGCATGCAAATAGTGCTGCTTTCAGAGGCACTCACAACGCGTACAGGGTGCCAACAAGCCTCTTCTTGTACCAGATGTGACAGTTACATGAGATAGTACCTTGCTCTTTTATTAAGAATCAAATAGCTTTGCACATAAATATACAATTACAAACTTCTGTACAGCATTTTCAATCATTGTTCAAGAGTGCTTTAGTCACTTACTATTGAAAGCTCAGGCTAAATAGTTCGTCAATATGCTTTATTGTTTAACAAACAAGTGACTGAGACACCCTAGTTCCAAGCACTGATGGGAAAGCTTTGTACATTACAGGAGAGCACCCAAGCCTGTTACTTGCTTTTTAACAGAAGACATGGAAGTTCCTGTCATTTTCTCTTAACTTTATAACAGTAGGCCTCAAAATGACACATTGCAAAACATAGGCAGAGATTGCCTAAGCTTTCCAAATTGGACTTAAAATTCCTGTCTCTTACCCTATTACCACCTGAGCTGGAAGATCCTCAAAGCAGTTCTCAGTGTCCCAACACAATTACCTAAGAGACTCTGGCACCCAATGCCTTTCACTTTGTTCTCCCTTTTACTGGAGATCAGTAAAATCTCTAGATACCTGATATTTTCCCAATGATAGAAGACAATGCCTTGGTCATCTTGGCTTTTGCTTCCATCCAGTGTAGTACTTTCTACTGGGAAGGTCAATTCCTTGTCAGGGCCAGCCACTGCCACTGGAGGACTGTTATTTTCTGTAAAAAGAACAAGGTACCATTGCACAGACACTTCCAATTCATGTTCTTGATTTCTGCAGTAAGTGCCCGCCGTAAAGTTTTCCCAGAAGGGGTCATCTACAAAAGTATGTGTAATAAGCAACAACAGGAAGATAAAATGGCAGAATGTGAAGCAAGAAGGCAAACACATTACAAAAAAAAGCATAAGAAAAACAAAACAAAACAAAAAACAAACAAACAAACAAAAAAAACAAACAACATCTCAAGAGGCCTGGACCATTTGGGCCAAATTCATCACTCAGCTCCCAAAATCTAAATAAACATGTGAGAGATGCAGCTTTTGAAAATTCCTTGCTTGGAACTTTTCCCTAGAAAGTACAAGATAATTCACCACTCAGCTCCCAAATCTAAATAAACATGTGAGAGACGCAGCTTTTGAAAATTCCTTGCTTGAAACTTTTCCCTAGAAAGTACAAGATAATTCAATTCACCAAGGATTTTTGAAGGAGAACTGCAAAACAATAAGAAAAGAGCAGAGCACTGATTGATACCCTGAGCTGCTTTGCAAAACAGACTTTGTAGGATATTAAACTCAAGAGCTACATTTTAGCTTCCAGAAGGACACTCAAAGACACCTCTGTGCAAGTTGCCCTACGTGATGAGGCTGGTGTGAGCCCTCAGGATTACCACCTGGACTTTTTATGATTCCACACTTGTTCTAACTGTTTGCTTTGACGGAAAACAGAGGTGGAAGAGTCCTTGATGCAGGGACACGGGACATCTAGACTGCCATCTCAGTGGTGCAATGCAGGGAGATGAGGCATTTGAGGACAGCGCTAAGGCATCAGGCTGACCCACCCCTGAGGGACCCAGACGTGCCTGCAGCAGACTTACCAGGCTGTACGATCAGTGTCACCTCAGCGGTGGAACGCTGCCTCGCAGAGTCTGTGACAGTCAGCTGAAATGTGTAATCTCCTTCCTGCATTGCAGATAACTGGAGGTACGGCGTCCGCACTCCCTACACGGCGTTTATAAAGGCAGAGAGAGTGAGATAAAACAGAAAGGCTCATGGCTCATGAAAGTTGTCACAGAACAAACACGAAGAAAAGATAAAATTTGTTTTAATTCACAAATTCAGCGTTTGAGAAAGCAGCTTAAGCACCTTGTGGACAAAGAGAAGACTTAAAATGTGATGCACAGATGTAATGTGTTTACTATTACAATTATCCCTACCAACCCTAGGAACATCTGATATAATAAACCTCAATTTCTTATGTTGGTATTCTTGCTGCATTTCTGAACAACAATAATTGTCAAACACATAGAACATGTTTCCTCGTGTTTAGGGCAACGAAGCTGGTGAGGGGTCTGGAGCACAAGTCTTACGAGGAGAGGCTGAGGGAACTGGGGTTGTTCAGTCTGGGGAAGAGGAGACTGAGGGGAGACCTTATCGCTCTGTACAAGTACCTGAAAGGAAGCTGTAGAGAGACGGGGGTCGGTCTCTTCTTCCAAGTTACAGATGCCAGGACAAGGGGTAATGGCTTCAAGTTGCGCCAGGGGAAGTTCAGGTTGGATATTAGGAAACATTTCTTTACTGAAAGGGTTATCCAGCATTGGAATGGGCTGCCCAGGGAGGTGGTGGAGTCACCATCTCTGGAGGTATTTAAGAAACGTGTAGACATGGTTCTTCAGGGCATGCTCTAGTGCCCAAGATTACTGGTTTGTGGTGGGGTGCTGTGTGGGTGGGTGATGGTTTTTGGTTTGGTGGTTGTTGTTGTGTGTTTAGGTGGTGGGTGGTGGTTTGTGTTTTTTGTGGGTTTTTTTGTTGGTTGGACTCGATGATCTCTGAGGTCCCTTCCAACCACTACGATTCTGTGATTCTGTTAGAGACAAAGACAACAGAGCTTTCCAACCCTGTGCAAGGAGAAACAGACATACCTGCATCGCCACAACCTTGCCTTTGCTTTTGGGACTGAGTGACCATTCATAGCTGACAATTTCATGGTCATCGCTGCTCTGGTTTCCATTCAACGTGATGAAGTTCTGGGGCAAGGTGACTGCCTGATTAGGTCCTGCATTGGCTATAGGTGGGTAATCCACCGGTTTGTTGACAGTCAGAGATGCAATGGTGGAGTTGGCTGCTCCATCTGAATCAATCACTGTGAGTCTACAACAGAAAAAAAAAAATAAATACTGGAAATCTGTTAAGATGGACTTCTGCCAAGCCCTAAATTCAAAGATTAACATTTTCTGGCACTTTTTCAAACACCACCTAAAACAGAGCCCCTGATTAGACTATACAAATTCCTGCTTCAGAAACACATATTCCTCAACAAAGGTAGGAAAGAAATTCAGAAGACTGTTTTCAAACACAGCTTTCAACCTCTAATGAAAAAAAACCCAAACCCAATACTGGATCCCAGATGAAACCCTTTACCTGCAGTCAATGGCAACTTCATCAAACAGATTTCTTTTATTCAAACAGAATTTATCAAACAGAATTCTTTAAATAATTTACTTAGTAAAAACAGGGATTTCATTCATCATCCACAGTGGGGCAGTCCCTGTTAACATCTACAAGCAAAACTACTCTGGGTGTTCAGAAGCTCTGCTTACAGTACAGTAGTAGTTCCTTACTTGCTATGTCTTTGTGGCACGCTATTACTAATTTTAATGGAGTTTAGTATCAGCTCAGATTTTTGAAGATGTCAAGTCACAAAACTAATATAGTGCAGGGTTTAAAAAAAAAAAAAAAAAGCACACTAGTGCCTCTCAGAAAGACAATGACAAATCATTTTAAAATGAGACTGCTGCAGACACCTGAAAGTAAAGAAAAGCTGCCCTCCATGGAACGGTAACCAATTACGTCCCTAATTCACCTCTGTTGTGAAAAACACAGACAGCTGACCACATGGATGGGAACCCCTCTTGAAGCCTTGCCCAACTTGGAACAAAACTTGTGCTCATTAATTCTGTCATTAGGGAACACATAGTTTTGCAGTGGATGCACATCCATGCGTATCAGGAGCACTAGATTTCATTGACCAGCTAATTTCCTGTAAGCTTGAGCACACTGCTCCATTGCTTAAGTACCTCTGCCTCCCACAAAGGTGCACAGATAGAGCAAGTGATTTCTTAATTCCCTAGGGTTTGGAGCACACTTAGAACATTGCCTGTAAGCAAGCTCTGCCCTTTTTAATACAGAAAAAAATCCTACGCTTATTTCCGCCACTGTACGATATGGAGCAATTCCAGTAAAGAACACAGAATGGAAGTTGAAGCCATGCAATTTTTGGCAAAGCTTACACAAAGCAACACATTGAATGTATATATGTACCCTGGCTTCTACTTTCTGCCGATGCTACACTGATACATAATATATTTAATTGGTAAGCTGTTACCCACTGGCAGCCAAATAACAGAGGCTGGGTCAGCGGGAAGTCTGCCCTTGCATAGACCAAGCTTTATGTTAAAAAGCTTAGAAAATGAATTCTGATTTTAATTAAAGCACCCAGAACCGCAAATATTGCTTCCATTGTCTGGACAAAATCCAGCTTCAGCAACACATAAATGGAGGAAAACAGTAGCAAGGCAAAGGTTTTTATGAAGAATAGAATGACTCTTATTAAAATCAGCACACTTATGACTCTTATTAAGATCAGCCTTGCAAGGATCAGTCTTCCAATACTGTTCTGTCTGCCCCCACCCTTCAGGGGATGACTTTCTCAGCCTGACTGCAGAGTATCATCTCAGGACACTTGTCAACTTCTAAGTTGGGGGAAAAAAAGTTATGTCACTGTTATCGTTGCTGGGAGTGGGAGGTATTTAATTTCTGATACCTTGTTTTGCATCATTTTGCACTATAAAGTATCACTACACCAGTATCACAAAACCACTTGTTAGGCACTTTTTAACAGAATTGCTCCCTATGTCTCTCCACTGTGCAAAATGAAGAGTAGCAGCATGCAGAAGAAAAACAAAGTTTTTTTGTTTGAGGGGGTACATACGCGCACTAAGAGAAACAAACATTTATCTGACATCACAGAAATAGTTAAAAACCCTGAGGAAAACATCTGTGCAGGTACCTGAAAGTGTAGTTTCCAGGAACAAGGTTAGCCAAGTGCAAAACAGGTGTGTCAGCAGATGCCTTCTGCTCTCGCAAAGGACCTTTAATTTCCTCCCAGTGGTAACTCACTATCTTCATATCATCTATACTTTCTATATGCATTAAAAAAGAAAAAAAAAAAAAAGAGCATCAGTTTCTTGTGGCAATTACTGGAATGAATAGTAAAGTCTTTCATGAACTGATACCTAATTGGTTTTCTACAACTATTTTTTCAGGCATATTTGAACCGGGTTCTCATACCATAGCTGCTAAACCACAGATTTCAAGTTACATTTGGTATCGTTTATCTAAACAAACAGAAAATTCTTCACACACACACACAAAAATATTAGTCTCAGACTCTGCACATTCTAATTTGTCTGCATTAAAAAAGAAAAAAAAAAAAAAGAGCATCAGTTTCTTGTGGCAATTACTGGAATGAATAGTAAAGCTTGTGGCAATTACTGGAACAAATAGTAAAGTCTTTCGTGAACTGATACCTAATTTGTTTTCTACAACTATCTTTTCAAGCATATTTGAACCGGGTTCACTTACCATAGCTGCTAAACTACAGATTTCAAGTTACATTTGGTATCGTTTAGTGGCAATTACTGGAATGAATAGTAAAGTCTTTCATGAACTGATACCTAATTGGTTTTCTACAACTATTTTTTCAGGCATATTTGAACCGGGTTCTCATACCATAGCTGCTAAACCACAGATTTCAAGTTACATTTGGTATCGTTTATCCAAACAAACAGAAAATTCTTCACACACACAAAAATATCAGTCTCAGACTCTGCACATTCTAATTTGTCTGCTCTCAGTAATTAAGAGCGTAGCTATGACACCTCATCATACCCTACAGCTCCCTACCATGTCCCCAGCTGGACTGGCACAGACACCTTCTAGCCAGGGCAGGAAGAAGCCACAAGAGTGGCTTCTTAATGACACTGTATCTTAATCCCCATGCAGAAGGCTGCATTTTATCACTTTTTAAACTCATTAAAATAATTTATAACTGGACTCAAATCCCTGAAGTGAATCACAATTCAGGGAACTTCCGAATAGAGTGAGAAGAAACTATTTCACTTGTAACTGACAAATAATAATGTGGTAATTGTGTATTAAAAATACAGCATAAGCACAGGATGGTCCATGAGTACATACGACTGCCATCAATGAAGGTAGAAGTTGTAGGCAAAGAAACTTCTTGTACTTTGGGTGAAGCAATGGCAACAGGCGGCTGGTTCACTCTGACTGCTGTGAGGAAGACAGGGGAGGAGAAAAAAAAAAAAGTAGTCAAAGTCCAGGGAAAACTAATCTGTTAATTCTAAAGATCAATAGTCCCCAGTGATTTAAACAAAAAAAGAGAGTAGTGAAAGTCCAGGGAAAACTAATCTGTTAACTCTAAAGATCAATAGTCCCCAGTGATTTAAATCTGGGATTGACAGCTTTGCAGCATCTGCTGTCCTTTCTGGACAAAGGAGAGAAAAGGTCACAGAAGAGCAGTGCACTGCCACAGCTGTCTCCCACCACAGCCACTTTAACTGATGTAATTTAGATCAGATCTATGCACTGCAGCTTGCAGCTAGAGCTGATCTGGCACCTAATTGCTGTTTCTAGCTGTACTGGAGAAGGGGACCATAAAAGGTGGCATGATTTTACCTCAGGCCTTGCCTGAATAGGGCACAAGACCAGAGAGCACTTAAACACAGTGAGCAAGATCCATAACTCTACTTCCTTAAAATACTGCCACAGCTGTCTCCCACCACAGCCACTTTAACTGATGTAATTTAGATCAGATCTATGCACTGCAGCTTGCAGCTAGAGCTGATCTGGCACCTAATTGCTGTTTCTAGCTGTACTGGAGAAGGGGACCATAAAAGGTGGCATGATTTTACCTCAGGCCTTGCCTGAATAGGGCACAAGACCAGAGAGCACTTAAACACAGTGAGCAAGATCCATAACTCTACTTCCTTAAAATGGACATCAAGATATGAAACATCTCTGCATGACCAGGTGTCCTTGACAGACAGTAACTGACAGACTATTAGATAAGCATTTTGTAAAGCTACTTGTGTTGAAGAAAATAATTTCATTACTTCAAGCCAACTCATTTACCTGGTTTGACCGTGACATTTACAAAACCTTCACCAAAGGCATTTTCACCAGAAACCATCACTTTGAAGGCGTAAAGTCCCACTGATAACTGAAAACAAACACAGAACAAAGCGGGTTACATGTCAAATTACGCAAAAGCAGAACGTAGTTATCTGCCAATCGTATTGTAAACAGAGAAAAATCTGGATATCTGAAACCTAGAGCTCCTTTTATAAACACATACACAAAAGGCCACTAGTCACTGTCCAGAAGTGGGGAATGCAAAACAAACACTGAGGAATTTTTACACTATCTTAGAATTAGAGTGCTCTAAGAAGGCTTATAATCTGGCAAAGATTTGGTGACACATGCAAGTGAAGAGACTCTGGCAGTCATTGGAACTTCTTGAATCAAGATGCCCTTCCCCACGGGTTAGATTCCTGCGAAAGGATCACACAAACACAATGAGCCTGAGCTTACAGCTCACTTACATGAGAGAGCTTCAAGGTCTGGCTGTGCCTGCGCTCCATCTCGCCGCCGTAGTCAGCAGGGTGACTGATTAAGCTCCACTCATAGGTGTAGGCTGTTTCTAAGGAAAATAACACAGCATAAGAGTAATCAGTTTTGCCTCCATGATAAGCCCAGGAAACAAAGAAATCCAGTTCACCATCCGTCAGATAAAACGCTGCAGTAGGAAATGATGACTGCTGCTGTTTAAGCCTGCAAAATGAAGCAGCACGAATATGTTAAAACTTCCACAATTACCACATCCTTGGTAAAGCAGCAAGGATGTGGCAATGGACTTCACAAATTCACAAATAATTGAATTCTTCACAAAAATCAGCTTCACGTGAAGTGAACGCATTTTACACAGCTACCTATGAAATATGTATTCTTTGCTGCCGCAGTCCATAAGCTGGTAGCTTTAAGGTCAATGTTGCATTTAGAACCTACTCCCCCCACCCCGATTTACAGCAAGATGCTACAACCTGGGCCACATCATATTTTGGTGGAAACTACAGGCTTTCTACTGAACCATCGGCTAATGTGTTCAGGTTCTGAAAGCAAAAGCCACTTAGAAAAAATACAAATCTCTAAAATCCACAGGAGGAAATCTTCTCTGCAGTTAGAGCCACAAAAATGTAGTAGTAGGAGATGAGAAAGATTATTTTATCCTGAGGTGCAGGATGTCCACATAAGTCAGGACTTGTCTGCCATTACAGGATGGTGGTGTGTGCATCTCCTTGTACGCCAAGGCCATTCAACTCACCTGTAGGTGGTGGTGGGACAACAAAGGCATTCAGTTCAACCTCATTTTTGGGTAGCATCACTTGTATGTTATCACCAGCAGACACAATAAGTTCTTTTACTGTATCTAAGACAGAATAAGTACATTAAGTTTTAACAGATGGGATGGATATAAATTTAGCATCTTCAAGTACTATTTGTAATGGATTAAGAAAAATTCGACAAACATTCTACAGTGAATAGGCAAGGCTAAGTTAAAAAAAAAAAATTCCTCAGTAAGCAATCAAATAATAATCTATTACAATCACGTCTATGGCTTCTTTGCCTTTTACCAACCCAAGAGTTTTGTTTTTCCCCAAATGTGAAGTGTCATTTCCCCTACTTCTGCTTCAGAGAAGAGCATTCTGATTATTTGGGTGACATTGCTCTGCATAGAGAATAATGCTTTTTTCTCAGTAATTGGATGGAAGTTCAGGAATTAAAAAAAATACACAATTAGAGAAGAAAAAAGAATAACCTGTGCCAGAAAAAAACCTCATTAAATAAAGTAACATAATCTATACTAGAACTCTAATATAATGTTTTCTTTCCCCAAGGGGCACTACTTCTATGCTTGAGGCATACCTCACAAGTGCCGCACAACGTCCAGCTCAGTGTCCCTTTTAAAAATTCCACTTGTATAGCAAGACAAAGGTGTTATTTCATAGCTGAGCCACACATTCAATCTATTTAACATGCAGGAAACACCCTCCCAGTTCTCATCTGTGAAAACTCCTTCCTCTTCCAAAAATGCTGAAGTCCACAAATCCAGTCCCCGACAGACACATATTAAAGCACAGCTTCAGGAAATGTTCTCACAGACCTGGTATTTCAAAGGTTTTAAATGTCCTTCTTTTAACATTGGAAACCCACAGAACAAAGATTCTCCCAAAGTCACCAACGCCTAAACATCTAACGTTGTCTAAACATCCAACTTACAAGCTTTGAATAGATAGATGAGCAAGAGGCTACTCAGCAGTGGCAGCTGCCAGGTCTAAAAAATGGATGAAGAGGCCACGTTAACAGCAGTGACTTGCTGTCACTGCTAGTGCACCCAAGGCTCCATAACTACTCGTGGGAGTTGCCCTAGACACCAGTGGAGTAGAGGTTTGTACTTTGGCCTCCACATGAGATAAGAATAAAATAGGAACTTCCAAGACTTCCAAGACAGTAGGGCTGAGAACACACAAATTTGAGGCAATCCTTGCACAAAGCAGTACTTACAGTGAGATTCATCACAACTTTCCCTTCAGCCGCTTCTTCCAAGCTCGTTTTTGAGTCCTCTTCAACCTCCTCCTGTGGAGGAGGAGGAGGAGCTGCCTAGTCAACACTCAATGGTAATGATGATCCATTGCCTTGGAGAGGGATCTCTTGTAGCTCATCTCTTCCTGTTACCTCCTACTGCTATCCTGGCTGGCACGTTGCAGTTGGGCAGAGGGTACCAAGAATGTCCCAAATCAGACTTACTCCACCAGGAAGCAAAGGGCTTAGCTCTTTACTCTTTATAGAGCTCTTTAGCTCTATACTCAGTACACCAGGAGGGCAGAAGAACACACATCTGTAGTTCTCTGCTTCTTGTGGCCCTTCTAACCCTTTGTCAGGGCACACAGGGAGGTGGGAAACTCAGCAGGAGAAAGGAGATACTTTAACATACACACAGAATTTAACACAACTACAGAGGACATAGTGGTTAAACACATCCTTTCCAAAATAAAAACTTCTGCTCTGCAGCTGAAGTCTAATAAGCTTCCTCAGAGCTCTGAAACTAGAGCAAAACCTTTTTTCCCCAGGATGAGAAAGCCATGTTCTCCCCTACTAAGGGCTAGGCTTCTCCCCTACTGAAGGGCTAAGCTTCCTCAAGTCCCACCTATGTTGCTGCATGATATCTGACAACTACATGTAGCAGGAACCCTACTGAATTTCTGAGGGGGGGGGCAATGTCCTGAAGAGTCACGCAAAAATAAAAGTATGTCTAGAAGACTATTTTGAAACTCCAGAAAGCCTCCGATATTTCTCACCAAGTATAGAAATTAATCCATTTAAAAAGGCTCTTTATCTCTGCTTTTTACTTTGCCGTATTTGCTTTCATTATAGTGTCCCATCAAGGATAGAATTGGTCAGAGCTTTGCTTCAGAAGTAACTGGCTAAGGGGTCTGGAGTTTGCAGTGCTACTGTAGGTTTATAGGCTGGAAGTGGAATGATGTTATCTTTGGATAAAGAGCAAGCTCATAACTAACAACAGGTTGGAAGCTTGACAGTAGTAAAGCCATCCCTGCCCACTGGGATGTGCAACCTGCAGGTGCCCCTCAGATCTCCAGCTATGTTGACACATTACCTGCTTTAGCAGCAGTAGCAGGAGGTGTGAACTGCTGCACGGGCTCAGGTGGCACAGTGGCAAGTAGCATGGTCCCACCTTCAGTGACATTCTCTGGGGCCACTGTGGGAGTCTGGGTTTTCTCTGACACACCCGTGGAGAAATCCAGTTGGTCTGAAGAAGGGGAAGGTGCAGTAGCCTGAAAAATTAATTACAGGGAAAGAGTTGTCTTAAGTGAGCCATTTTTCACATTTCCAGACTTAGAGGTATGCTGTTTTTTTCAATATCATGTAGGGTAGGACAACTGATTTATGTTACTAGGACGTTTTATTCATACACAGAATATCTAACAAAGAAGGGCTGTTTCTGTTATCTTATTAGGCTTTTTAAGAAATACTAATCATTTTCCAAGTCTCAGATGCAGAACAGTGTAGGCTATCATCAAAATGAGGTGACCTGAAATACAATTGAGGCTATCAGTTCTCAAATTAATATAGAACAGTAGGACAGGTCTAAATATAGTCATAAACCTTTAAAAGCCAATGATAGGAAGTCTGTATGGTGAGTATAATTGTCTTCATGCTGTACGTACACAAACAGAACAGAATCCTTGACTCTTGCCACATCTGCTCAGACCAGCACTTGCTCATGCCTTCTTATTTCCTCACCACTAATAAAATGCCCTAAATCTCTCTACTTCAATCACTGAGCAGTTGTGTTCTTCTCACTCACCCACCTTGTTCGTAAATCAGAATTGCAGCAAGGGACACGACAAGTTTTGCCAAAATAACTCAGCACTGTGTTAGCCTTGCCCATCACCTTTCAGTGACACGTTAGTCTTAATGGATCAATGGCTTTTCCTTATGTTCTCAAGACTTATTTCTGATCTAACATCTAGAGAAAAGCACTTTGCCAATTATGGCTATTGTGTGTGGCCTATGAAGACATAACATATTGATGGCTATAATTTGTATATAATCTGTTATCTGAAGAACAGGATTATGAAGGTTGGCAAAATGCACACTCATATCACAGAATGGCTGAGGTGGGAAGGGACCTCTGGACACAGCCTAGTCCAACTCCCCTCCTCAAAGCAGGGTCAGCTACAGTAAGCTGCTCAGGACCATGTCCAGGCAGGTTTTGAATATCTCCAAGGACAGAGAATCTACAACCTCTCTGGACAACTTGTTCCAGTGTTTGACCATCCTCACAGGAAAAAAGAAAAAGATGTTTTTTATTGTTTTAATAGAATTCCTTGTATTTCAATTTGTGTCCATTGCCTCTCATCCTGTCACCGGATGGCACTGAAAAGAGCCTGGCTCCATCTTCTTCACTCCTGCCACAGTTATTTATACACATTGGTAAGACCCCTTTGAACCCAATCTATTCAAGGCTGAACAGTCCCAGCTCTGAACTTCTCTTCATATTTCAGGTGCTCCACTTCCACTCTGCGGTCTGTTGCCTCCCTAGGAAATCAGAGCAGCTCTGCCTTGAATGTGGGCAGGAGGAAAAGCTCCCTGTGCAGCAGGGAACATGGAAGCAATGCCAGGGACTGTTGCTTCCCAGCCTGCGAGGAAACAGAGCATGAAAGTCATCTGCAACTCCATCTCTGCCTTCAACAAGGACAGAGAGAAGAGAGCCCTGTGCAGCCAGGACAGTGACAGCAGTGTTGGGGGCTGAGGCTCCCTACCCTGTGAAGATGCTGAGGACCACACCAAGAGCTACACCTCAAGATAGGTCTATGGACTATGCAAGCACCTTTACGGCCACAACTCCAGCTCTGCTCAATACGCAGATAGTAAAAAGATCTGAGCAGCTGGGACACCAACAGCAGGATCAGGAACTGCAGCTCCCCTAAGGTAGTGCCTTCAGCAGGAATCTCACCCTTGACAACATCATCACGCACAGGGAGAGCCACCTTTGACAGGCCTTTCTTCCAGATAGCTCTCCTTTATGTACTCACTCCATCCCACATCTTCCAAAGAGATCTTCTTTACTACACTTGAGCAAACCAAAGTGTTTCTTTGCCTTCCAAGTTTAAGGGAAATCTACTTTTCTGAGCTTCCTATGGCTTTACTCCTCTCCTGGCCTTGTGCCGGTCTATCAGGTGAGACACAGCCATCCTGGGTTTGTAGGACAGATAGGGAAAAAGTGACCCCAAATGTACCTTTCCCAGGACCTTCTCTTCTGCAATGGTACCAAACACCTCTTCAGTCAGCAAGGCTAGGCAAGCCTCTGCAGTCAAAACAGCTGCTCTGTGACACTGTCACATCTGAAGCAGTGCCACAGTCGAAAAGACAGCTTAAACTAAGAACATTAGCAGGCAGTAGATAATTGAGGCAGAGGCAATATCAGAAATTGAGTTTTCAGTCAGAAATTATTACTAAGGGATATGCTGCAGCAGACGTAAAGAGCAAGATTAACCTAAATTCCAGCTCAGGAATTGAAAGGAAAAGGAAAGAAAAGGAAGAGTCTTTCTGGGAGTGAGCAGGGTAGGCAGTTCTGTTGGTATGGGCTCTGGGGGTTTTTTGCTTGCTTTTACCCACCAGTACAGCCATTACTGCTTATTACAAAATAACTACACCAGCTGTGAGGGCCAACACCTGCCACTTCTTGGGGTTTGACTCAAGTGCAAATATAACTACACCAGCTGTAAGGGCCCACATCCTCCACTTCTTGGGGTTTGACTCAAGTGCAAATCTCTCAAGAATTCCAACAAAAAACAAGTACATTCCCATCATTCAAAAAGGAAAAAAAAAAAAGTCATGCAGTTCCCTGGGGAAGCTCAAAGTTACAGTGCAGACAACAGCACCATGCCATGGGGGATCCTTCTTCACTTCTGGTCCCTGACTGACCCCACAGATTGGGTGCTTTCTTTTCTCCCCATGAATGGGAAGGATAAGCCCAATCATCGTCTTCCTCAAGTACTCCTAAAGACAACTTATCAGGACCCTAGTGAGTCAAGGGCTGCTAGTGCTGTGTTTGATACGACTGCTTCCCCACCAGTCTTTCCTCCACGTCCCCTGTACATATGATTACTACATAACTGCATTACCATTTGCTCTCTCTCATTATCTGGAAAACATTATGAAGAGCAGCTCTGTCAGCACTGAAACTTCGCTCTTTTCACTGGTCTGCTTCTCCCTCCTTCTCTGCTTTCAGTTATCTGTCTAATCATTTCTAGCAAGTATGACCTCTACTAATTGGGGAGTCGCAAAAGAGCAAACCATCATGCTGTATGACACAAAGTGCAGACTTCAAGACAGAAATAAACATTTTTGACAGCTAATTCTAAATATCAAAACAGCTTTCAGGGGTCTTATACATTCCCTAGGGATCAAGTCAATGCATTTTTAACCAAACAGGACCGTTCAGCATTCGCAGGCTTCGAAACTGAAACAAGGCCAAAATAAGGTAGGAACACCTCTGATATTCAACCTCATTCTAACTCCTAAATATCAATTTTGAAGGCATTCCAATCAGACATTAAAAGGCTCTTCATCACATAATATTCTGTCAGCCATCTTAGGCTTTCTTAGGTAGAGCTTTATGCATTTAGGCCTAACCTATTGAATAAATGTTTGAAACGATGCAACATCAACAGAGCAGCAGCTGGAGTTTGACTAAAACCTGAACAACCTCACCTTGCTTAACAGATCAGCAGTTACCTGGAGATGTAAAAAAGACAATTAAGACTTCACAGGTATCTCACTTCAAGGATGGGCAGCACTGCAGATTTCTGGTTTGGACAGCTTGACAGTATTTACTCTGTACAGATTTCTAAATGTATTCATGTCATTGAGCTGCTAGAGGGTGACAGGCCGTAAGATCACTCTGAACTCTTGATGCAAACCCAAAAAAGCCAGGTTACTCAGTTAATTGACAAACCCCATACGTTCTATCCCAAGTCACACAGTCACCCCCCACACCTGACAGCACTTATGGCAAGGATGCTCCTGAGTCACAGACTCCTGAGGCTTGTGTTTGGTTGGTCTCACAGTTTAAAATCTCTCTCCGGGTCCTTGGCTCACAGAACACAGCACCTGAGGACACTGCATGCTGCTGACTATTGTGAAGGAAAGGAATTGCATTTTTGCCAACCTGCTCTGTCTCGTTTGTCAAAACTGCTTTGTCTGGGGGCTGCAGAAGGGAGTGCGTCAGTATGGGTCTAGGACACAGGGCTATAGAATTGCTGGAGCAGAATTAAGCAGACATAGGAAAATACTGTATGATATGCAATAAACAGAGGGCATTTCAGCACAGTTATTAGCAAAAATAGTTTGAAGACCTTAACATTTTCATAACCTACACAAAAAGACCTGAGAGGTAGTGAGAAAACTATTTGGAGGCATCTCAGCATTTTTAATCCAGCATAAAAAAGTTAAGATTTCCTTAATAACAAAATTTGGTCTCCAAAGAAACATTTTTTTCAGAAGGAAACATGAATACGTGCCTGAACAATCCATATGAAATTTGATTAAAATGTCTGCTTGCTGGAGAAAGAGACACATAAGAAGGAATTCCCATCACCAGAACTTATCACAGGCAGCTTCTTTTTCACTAGAGTCACAAGTGCACTTCCCAAAGCAGAAAAACTTCAAGCCAAGCCAGAAGTTTGTGTCAGGCACAACTTGCTGGCCAAGCCAGAAGTTTGTGTCAGGCACAACTGGCAGGGCTTGGGTGGCAGGAGACTGGCTGCAGGGTCACCCCTGTGGTCCCAGATGGTTTGGCAATGGATGGAAACAAGCAACCATGTGCCAACACTGCAACCACTCAGATATAGTTAAGAAAGAGCAATAGTCACTGGGGACAGGGGACATAGAAGGGGATATGCACAACAGGAGACATGAAAAAGAACATGTGGAAGGGGACGTTATTGGGTACAGGGCTGGGGACATCCTCTTCCACTGGGGACAGGGGACATAGAAGGGGACAGAGGACATAGAAGGGGACAGGGGGAGGAGAATGGGATATGCACAACAGGAGACATGAGAAGGAACATGTGGAAGGGGACATTATTGGGTACAGGGCTGGGGACATCCTCTTGGAAGGAGACACTTCATGCCACCTCCCAGGGGACCGAGGCCCACAGAGAAGCCCACACCAGACCAGAGGAAACAAGTAAGAAGGAAGGAACAGTGGCAGAAAAGAGAAGGAAGCAACAAGTGGCATAAAGGAAACTGCTATCCACTGACCCCAGCCTCCTCTGCTGCCTGTCACCTCACCAAAAGGACTGAGCATAATGTGCAGTGAAAAGATGGGGAGTGGAGACGTGTCTGGACTGAAGATGAACTTGGGCAACACCAGGGAAAGGTATTTGCAGAAACTGTTCATCATCTTCATTTCTCTGCAAATGTCTAAATTCAAAGGATTCCCACTTGGGAAACAAAGGCTACACAGGCTTTTGCGGTTTCTCAAAACCTTCTGCTTCTCCAGATTCTTAACCTTTCTCTACATTAACAGCCTTTAGAGTCATTTCACAATACATTTCATGAACAGCTTTCAATACTATCCCATCAGCTCTCTACAGCTCTGTTAACAGAGCACTGCTACATCGCCTTCTAACTACAGTTATCATCTTATCAGCTCTGCAACATCACTACCTGCTGGGGCTAAAGACTGACCCAGTTTGGGAGTTTTGTCTCTTCTGCACTGAAAAAAGCAAGCTCGTTCCTCACCTTTTCCACAGGAGTTTCAATGGCTGCGCTAGCATTATGTTAGCATCACATAAAGACCAGACAGGAATGCCTCCTCTGTGTCCCAGTGAGAAATATGTCTCTCTCCACTCTACAATAAACTTCTCTCTACACAGACAGTGTCATGAAGAGAAAACAAAATCTTTCTATTCTAGCTGGGGTAGCAAAATCAAAGTAGAGATTTACAAAGCAGGCTTGGCCACATATATCATTACCACTGCAAGCTCAGTGAAAGCTCAACTTTCATAAAGCTGTATTCACACCATCCCTTAGAGATGGGGAACAAATTTGCTCAGCTCTGTTTGCCACACATTTTAGGTGAACTCAAAGTTGTAATGGCTTCTCTAAGGCACATAAGCAGCCCTGACCTGCAAGCTCTGACCCATACAAACTCTTAACTAGCTCACTGCCATCAGACCTCATCCCTAGCACCTCTGAGAGGCTGCAACACCCTCCCTGATCATGAGCTGTCTAGGGCAACAGCCCAAAGCACCCTTTCATCAATAGCTGACAGAACTTGTGAGAAGCTGTGAGAGGTCCTAGCCCGTACAGCCACCCATGTGCCTCATGGCACTCCCAGAAGCCCACCTGGAATCCCCGAAGTACTGAGAATATCTAGAAGATCTCAAAGCAGAGAGAAAACTGCCACACCTCTAGGCTGCAATGGTATCCAAGTTAGATTTTATCTTAGGACTTGCTGTTCTCCACACGTACTTTTGCCAGCTCTGTCATCCCCACCAAGAACCTCAGCTGTCACTGATTTCATACAACTTTCTTACTTATGTGCATTTTCCTTCCCTACTGTAATAGTAATAAATTGTCATTTCTAAAGCAAGAGATAAGTAGTTGCTGGTTACAAAATCTGGTGGAATTTAGAGCGATCCAGGTAACATTGCTTAATTTCCTCTTCCCTCCTGCAGAGGTGCATGTCAAACCCAGTACATGTTGACTTTACAGCCTATTTCAACTTTCTAACTGGTTCCACCAGTTCTTAGGGAACCTTTTAGTCTCAACTGATCGAGCTGGCTGGCATAAATAGAGAACAGGTGCATTTTAATGAAGTATCTAAATTAGTTTTTAAAAGTTAACTTATTTTTATCAAGACTCAAGAAAAGGATCCTGAGAACAAAGTTACCTTATCCATTTTATCCTGCTGTACACCATGGTCCAAAAATCCCCACTGTCCTTCCTTATGTACCTTGCCTCTCGTGTTTTAAAAGCATTATAAAAGGTATTTATTCTATGCATTAGCAACATGGAACCCATAAAACAGGCTTCATTTTCTTGATGGAGGAACTTATGTTTATTGGTTTTGGCCTTAGGACACTAGAAGTTGCTCAGCTAACTTCTTCTAATGAGTCACCAAGGGTCAAAAGGGAAGAATACCATAACACTGTTACACCAGGTCCAAGCCCACTCATCTGTACGCTTCAAAGGGAATCCCACAGTGTCCCAAAAGGAGCCAGTAGAAAAGAATCCTTTAGTGATTCATCTGCCTATTAAGACAATCCTCTCCCCTTCAGCCTTTTCTACACTGTAACAGGACTGTAAGTCATTTGAGTGTTAGGGTTACATTACAAAGCAATAACCTAATTTGATTTGGAAAACAGAAGAATTGCAAAGTGGCCTCAGACCATACTCTGCTTGCTTCCTGAAGGGCAAACATACCTCTTTTTGCAAAGCATCATCAGGTTGTGCGAGAAGTTGAACAGGGGCTTCACTTTCAAATGTCTTCCTGGGGAGTGGTGTCATCTCCGGGACAGACGACAGCGAGAGCCTCTCTACAGAGTGTTCAGTGACAGAGTTCACTTCAGAGCTGGTTTTATTCACAAGGCTTTCCACTTTCCCAGCCTCCCCTTTCTTTTCAGCAAAGTCTTCCTGGTTATCTCCATCGTCGCCCATGGAAGAGTTGAAGCCATTTTCACCTGCCACCATCAGGCCCCAGTCAGCGTAATCCGCGCTCTCCTTCTGCTCATGTTTGATGCCCAACTGAAAGGGGTCCTGCTCCAGCTCTTTATAATCATCAATATATTCAGGAATCTCCTCAAGGCCAGGATCTTTGCCAAGCAGAGACAGCTCCTTCAGGCTACTTACTTCCTCAGATGGCTGATTCTGGAGTCCCACGGAGTGGACCATGCTTGGGATCACTTGCCCAAATCCTAGCAGTGAGGCTGGCCTCTGAGAAGGTCTCAGCACAAAAGTGAGATAGGACTTTACAGTTTCAATTTTTTTAGGTTCGCAGTTCTCTTTGTGTTGGCAGTTCACGATGTAACAGCGTCGTTCAAACATCCAGGACAAGTCACAACCAGAGAGGTCACAACAGGCTGCGATGCAGTCGGACACTGACAGAGCATGAGGAACTCGCATAATTTTAGTGGTTTCTAAATTGGGAGATATTACTGCGTCTGAGTACGTGGCTCCTTCTCTGCACTGCTCACAACTGGAACCTGAAAAAACACCACCAACGTAAGGCATAATATAGTTTACTGTGACCAAAAATGGCTTATCACAGGAGACAAGGTAAAAACAGATGGCACCCTACTTAAATAAGCTCATTTCCTTTCATTAATATCACCACTACTTTTTTTTTTTTCAGCATATCCCTTTGGAGTAATATTTGTACTTGGGAGGACTTTTCAGTGTAGGATCTTGATATGTTTTACAAAATGCCTCTTACTTCCCTTTGCTACAAATACATAGAGATGGAAGGGAGTTGCCAATATTTAAAACAAGGAAAAAAAAATAAAAAAAATCATTGAGTACCTCCATTACCCTCTTAGCATAGTGAGCAAAGCATGTTTTAAAACAAAACCCACATAAGATGCTGTAACATGTCATTGTTTCACTTTAGGAAGGAAGACGCAAAAAAAAAAAAATAAAATCTACATAGGAGAAACATTTGCTGTCTCAGTTGAACTTCATGAAGAGTCCCTCACACCAATGTAACTCTTGGGCTTAATATAAAAGCTGGACCAAATTCTCAAATTTTTGCTGCTTTACCCACCAGTGCATGTGAAAACTCAAGAGCTTGCTCCGTTAGGGAGCATCTTCCCTTCCTTTGCAGTGAAGTTGCAATCTTTTAGTAGGACATCAGAATTCTTTTCATAGCACATCACAGACTGAGTGTGAAGTGTTCAAATCAAGCATGAATCAACATACTGTGTATCTCAATTTTTAACATCTTCTCTAGGCGTTTTTTTCCCGGCTATAACTACTCTTCAGAATTCCTCTCTCCAAAATGCAACCTGAAAAATCTGATCGTGCTTCAAAAAACAGTTGAGTTAAACCAGGATACTCTTCTTAATGTGGTTTTCAACTAGACTTGCTAACTCAACCAATGAAAGCAAGATGTCACCACTGTGGAGCTAACACAGTAATGGAAGACACAGTTGACTCTGCCTGCTCTGCACGTCATTAGCAGTAGAGTTCTGGCAGCAGAAACCTCATTATTCACAATAACATATGGCAGGAGAAAAAGAAACAGGCAGCTTGACTAATTGATTCCAGCTCAAATCTGTGGATCTAATGGGCAGGAAAACTGAAACCAATGAGTAGGAATAGGGCAGCAGTAAGGGTTAGGTCTGACCATGACCTACAGCCTCGGAGATGCAGAGGTTCTCCTACACATGCAGTGTGTCCAACCACCGCGCTACAGCTCCCACCACATCTTCTGGGCTGAACAGCAGTACCTTCCTTCACACTACATGATCGTAATACAGCTACTGAAATACCTGTGGGGCATCATACTGCCTGGGATGAATGCACAGCTTGCAAAGTAGGTTAAGTTCAAAGCAAAAAAACACAAAAGAAACAAAAAATCCAACATGCACCACACACTGAGGGATAGAGAGGACAATACTTTATGATGGTTTTGCAGAGCTGGCTATCTGGGGAGAGGAGAAACGTGAAGCAAAACTAAATTTTAAAAAAGATCAATGACTTGCAAATAGATGTAGCTGGGTATGAAGCTGACAAAAAGGATAAGCAGCTTCAAGTCCATTTTTCAAGCTCCAGCTACTCCTTCATACAGAACTGGGATGCTGTTTACTCCTCCACTTTACACTTTCAGTGAAAAATCTATCCAGGGGAACACAAAACAATCTATCCTGTTCTGACACAGCTCAAACATGAAGCATCTTTATCTGTACCCAGGATTTGTGCATTATTTTTTTCTTTCGCATTGCATATCAATATTTTCTTTATATTCCCTTTCATCTCCAAGAACATCAGATCCTGGTAGAGACTCCGAATTGTCATCACAAGTCTTTCCTTTAAATTGTCTGCACAACTTGGGACAGGTGAGCCAGAAGAGCTCTGGGTTAAAACGAAGTATAGGAGTCAGGCAGCTCATTTAACCATTCCATCCTTTTTCAACCATTATCAATTTAGTTAATCCTGTAAGTCAGCAGGGAGATGAAAAACAGCCCTGTGTGAACATCCAGTATTTGGTCAGTAACAACTCATTACAATTAATACTTTAGGAACAGCGCTATTAAGGTGTGTAAAAAACTCCTTTGAGGGTTGTTTTCATGTGTTCCCTTCTTGACCTCATCCCTGAAGGAGAAAGTGACCAACCTGTTAAAAGGCATCTGAAAGCTTCATTATTTATTTTGTTCAGAGAAGAATGAAAGAATGACCAACAATTCTTGTCCTGGAGACAGACCTGGACAACTGGAATATTCCAAAACCGTAACCTGAGGCCAGACTTCAAACCCTCACTCAGTCTGATGTCAAACAAATCTCCAAATCTCACCCTGTCACTTTCAGTTTGATACATGAGCTATCACGCTGCAGAGTCAACCTCCCACAAAATTGATGGTGTTTCATTAGCTGTAGAGAGAAACAAGTCCACCATATTCCTAAAACAATACATGACACTGAACCTAAATCTTTCAAGCAAGCATCCTAGCCATAGATCATAGCTACGCCCTTTTTCATATGTCAGGAGGCCTTGCTTTAATCCCAGTAAGGAACGGAAAAAAACAGTAAGCTTCAGAATTTCTGTATAATGGGAAAATTATTTCCCCAACAATTCTAATTTAAACCTAAGAGCGTAATCCAAATATCAAAGTAACCCACATTTCATCTCTTGCTTCAGCTAGAGTTACACCTGAATAAAATTCTAGCAGTAGGTGGGCAAGAATGGGTAAATTTAGCAGGCTATTTCAGCCTAATACTGTGTCCGTTTTGTCTTCACACGGAAAATATGCAAAATCTACTTAGTATGAACTTAATCTGATCTCTAATTTCATAGTCCTCTTCACCCTGTCCAATCTCCAGTCTGCAATGGGCTCAAGTAAGAGATAGCGAGGTCTCTTACTTACAGAAAATTTACTGAAAGAGCGTCTCACAAAGGATCACATAATAACATTTGTGTCTGCTAAGGCATTACCTGACATCTGAGGTCACAGCATAGCTGTCTTCCTTTAGTTAATTGATCTCAAATTAAAGTACTGTTCTACTCTGACCAGTAATGGCAAAAAATAGCATCATGCAATTCTGTTTATTGTTTCAGAAGTACTCATTCAGGTTACCAACAGAAAGATTGCTTCACCTTATTACGAGCCCTGAAAGCCCTCTAGTGCCTGGGCCATCAATAGCCTAAAAGTTCTGCAAGCCAAATATTCCCCTTCCTTTTGGCCGTACCTCATTATGTCTACAGTAGAACAATGCTGACACATCCAGAGACCTAGTCAGGCAAGTGGGTTACTCTAAAAAAACCCCACCAAAACCAAAAAAACCAAAACCACCAAAGCCATACCTCCCACAAAAAACCCTAATACTCAGTCACAACATGGAATATAGCTTCATTTAAAAGAGATTCTTTCCTTTAGTGAGGAAACATCCACACCCTTCTTTGAGGTGCATAGTACCACTTTTTCACATCTTGGTGCGTGAGCCCACTGATGTCCAGAGCCCAGCAGGAACACAGCCGTACCTCCATCGCAGATGGCTGGAGACCTTTCCTCAAGTGGACATGGAGACTAACTGCAAAACCTAACAGATGCTCTCAGCCCTCTCTGGCAGGCTCACAACCACAAGCACTTGAATGATTTGCAGGCAAATATTCTTTAGTAAGTAGCAAATTATAACAGTGTACTAACACTGGGTTAATCATGGCTAATTACCCTACTCTGACATTGGAACTACTGGATAGAGTCCAACATCAGGCAACTAAGATGATTTAGGGATTAGAGCATCTCCCTTACGAGGAAAGGCTCAAAGAGCTGGGGTTCTTTAGCCTGGAGAAGAGAAGGCTGAGGGGAGACCTTATCTATGTTTAGAAGTTCCTAAACGGTGTGTTGAAGGATGATGGAGCTGGACTCTTTTCAGTGGTTTCCAGCAATAGGACAAGGGGCAACGGGCACAAGCTGGAACACAGGAAGTTCCACTCAAATCCAAGGAACAACTTCTTCCCAGTGAGGGTGACAGAGCCCTGGAACAGGCTGCCGAGAGAGGCTGTGGAGTCCCCTTCTCTGGAGATTTTCAAGACCTGCCTTGACGCAGTCCCTTTAGCAGGGGTGTTGGACTAGATGATCTCTAGAGGTCTGTTCCAACTCTGTCAAATCTGTGACACCCTGCAAGAACAGAGCTATCCCCGTGTAGGCTGATCTACCTGTTTTCCCTAGCAGCAACCAGTACCACAAGAACCAGGAAGCAGGAAGAGGGGGCAAGAGAGAATGAGCAATGGAGAAGAGCTCAGATTCAGCCCTTGCACCAAGAAAAGTCCCATTTGACCAGAATCAGCTCCCGTTACCTTATTGCTGGCAGCACAGCACTGAGAGCTCACGTGGCACACTGCTCTCACAGCCTGAAAGTCTCTGAACTAAGGGAGCACGCAAGGTTCTCCAGCAGTTTCCTACAGGAAGAGTAGGACTGTCTCTGCCTTCTTGTGCTGCAACAAACTAGTTCCCTTCTATTTTTAGTGCACCATGAATGTATCTTCATTCTTTTTTTACAGGCTGCTTTTAGGTTATTTGGTGTTTCCCCCTCCCTTTCCCTGAAATCTCACAGGTCTTTAAATAGGGATACATCCGGGATCCCAAAGTGCTCTTTTGGGCCTCAGTAAGGATGCTGACTGCAGTCTAAGCACTGCAAGGGAGGAGGAGAATAAACAGACAAAAAAAAGTGCTCAGTTACATAAAAGCAAGCCCTCAAGACAAAGCTAAAGGCAATTGTATTCTACTTAAATCTACAAACAATGAACTGCAAAGCTTTTGTGGCCATTACAGCAGCCTGCACAATGTTTATCATTCACTCCTTGTGTCTAGGATCTGTCAAAGCTCCCTATTTAGCTCAGCGGGCCTGATGGTTCTCTCCAAGTATCGTTTTTGTTCCATGAATTGTTACCCCTATTTGTCACTGATAAATGAGCCAAGTGCTATTTTAAGAAAGAAAAAAAACACAAAACCACACAACAAAAAACAAAAACCCCACACCTAAAGAA